ATCCTAAATCCTAAATAAAATCCTAATTAAATCCTAAATCAAATCCTAATCAAATCCTAAATTCTAAATAAACCCTAAAAAAATCCTAATCAAATCCTAATCCAAATCCTAAACCCTAAATCAAACCCTAACCAAACCCTAATCCTAAAACAAACCCTAATCCAAATCCTAAATCCTAAACCCTAAATCAAACCCTAATCCAAACCCTAATCAAACCTTAAACCAAATCCTAAACCAAAACCTAACCAAACCCTAACCAAACCCTAAACCAAACCCTAGTAATTCCTAGAACAAATTTAAACTTCAATGACTAATAAATAAACCGTTGATCTTAATTCAAATTTTATATACTTCTTAAAAACTAAGTTCAAAATAAGCACAAAAAAATTGAAAAAGATCGGAGTTACCAAATTGACGATAACTTCAAAAATGTGCTCGGGTATTGACCGGCTTCCTTCTCCAATCTTAATGCTAATCTTCCAGAGCCAATATCTCTTCTTTACACCGTTTGATTGATTTAAAAATTCTAATACACATAAAAAAAACAAGTCTAATATCCTCTCACATAAGTTTCATTCCAATCCAACTAGTAGATTGCACGAAATCTTAAAAATCCCTATTAGACCTATAATTCTACTTTCTGAGACCTTGATCCACTTAAACCTCAATATCCCTCAATTTAATCATTAGATCAAGCTCAAATTCGCGACACATATTAAACACAACTAAAACCATAAATCCACAAAATTTCACCCATAGATCTATTACAAAACTCTTGAAATCACCCAAAACATAAATCCTATTTTATTTCATAAAATCCAAGTCATCCGAAACAAACCTTGACTTTGCAAAGCTATTACAAAGTCAATACAGATCCAAATCACCCAAAATCAACATCCATAGAAATCCTATTCAATCTTCTATCAAACTTGATTTTCCAATCTGCCAAAGAGTCCGGAAGTCGTCGTCGAGACCTAGTTTTGTGCCTCAGGGTCTGATTTCGACCCTGGTTCATAACTGGCCCTCTCCGGATATCAACATCTAGGTTTTTTTTAGTAATTTTTACTAGAATTTACTCTTAACTTCTTTCTAAAGATGTTTATATCATTTAGTTTTCCAATCTACCTTATTTTGCCTTATTTTTGGCCCTACAAAATAAGTAGAAGCTATTTTTTTTAAAAGGGCAGCATTACTACTAAAAGTTTTACTACCTTCCTATCTTTTATCCATATTTTTCTACCTTTTCTCTTAACTTCGCACTTCTATTATAAGATCCATATTATCATCTTTTACCATATAGTCGTGTTATAATACGACATCGCAATGATCCATCTTTTTTCTTCACAAATAAAATTAGAGCTCCTGCTAGAAATTTGGAATGACATATGAAGTTCTTGGCCAAATTCTCTTCAATATACTCTTTGAGTTCAGTCAACTCATTTTATGATAAACTATAGATTGGTCTAAATGGCAGTTGTGCTCCTTCTTAAATATCAATTGAGCAGTCATAGGAATGATGTCCTAGAAGGATATGTGCATTTTTCTTCTCAAATACATCTTGAAAATCTTAATATTGGCTTCGAATGCCACTTCAAGTCTTTCCACTAGTAGAAACAAATGCAGCATAAATGACACAAGGTGATTCTTCTTTTGCAGCATGCAAGAAAGTTCTTGCACCTACAAATATAGGTTTAATTGTACTAGACTAATGACTTTCTATCTGATTAACTATACTCTTAGTTATACTTTCAGAAAAATCAAGACTACCAGAAGTCCAATCTATTTTAGGGTTATATTTTTCTAACCATGATAAACTTAAAATGACTGGATTAGAAAGAGATCTAATGATATTAAATATTACAAAGCTACTATGACCATTAGTTGCTACTTCTATAAGAAGGGTTTCATGAGTAACATCTCCTGAAGACAATGGACGACCATCTATGACTCCTACATGAACAGGTCTAGTTTCTTTACTAAAAGTATGTTATGTCTTTTAACAAATTCTTCATCTAAGAAACATGCTGAGACTCCTAAATCTAATAAAGCAGAGGCTTTGTGATGTTTAGGTTCTAAAATATTTATCGTAAAACAAAGAGAATGTTTGAAGGAGAGAATAGGACCTTCACTAGATATTATACAAGGTTCCAACCACACAGTTCCTATTGTAGCTAGACAAACTCGTTTTCTGACATACTATCTTCTTTGATAGCCGTATTTCTTATTTAGTGGTTGCATCGCTTCTTTGCATAATGTTAAGTAGTGTGCTTAGGTTCTTCATAATATAAGCACAATCCTTTGTGACGACGATGAGTTTTTTCTTGCTCAATAAGAGGTTTAAAAATATATCACATCAATTTATATATCTTCTACTTCCAAATGTATGTGTTGAAGACATGTTAGAATTGCCATTGAATTGTAGTAACGTTGATGTCCACTTATACGATTCTCAGATCAAAATTCAAAAAGAAGATTGTCGCACTTGACAACAAAGTCAATTGCTTGACTCAATGTTTGAAGATCAAGTAAGTTCATCATTAATTTTTTTACCTCATATCATAATCTATAGAGAAATTGGCTAATAAGTGCAGTATCATCCCACTTGATATCAGTTGCAAGTTGTCAAAATTGCGAAGCATACAATGTTATTAATCGATTGTCTTGTCATAAAATACAAATTTCATTGGTTGCAACATGAATTGCATCATGTTCTCCGTACATGGATCAAAACTTTACCAAAAAAGCCTCCACTTTATCCAATATTGAATCTCGTCGTTCAAGAAAAGATAAAAACCATGATAATGTTGAACGTGAAAGAAGCATACCAATGAATCTAACTTGTGATCGTGGAGTTAGATAGCTTTGGAGTTGAAGTTCAATCATAAGTTGTACTTGATTGATAAATCCTCTAAACTTTAATCTGATGCCATCAAACTTCTTGGATAGGATAATTCTTGGTTCTCTAACATTGGAAGGATATTCCACCTTAGGAGAAGGGACATGATTTGGTGCAGATATTGAAGGACCTCCAATCATTTCTATATCTTCACTTCTTGCCAATCTTATTGTTCTTTGTGGTGGTAAATTGAGTTGATGCATTGCAAGCATTAACTCCCTCAATTGTTCTTGCATTTATGCCATTGCATTCTTCATTTTAGCAAGTTCTGCCATGATAATACTTAGAAAAGAGAAGATGTCTAATATCGCTCAAGACAAATAGAAGAGAAGACTTGAGAACAAAGAAAATACTAAAAACAATATCAGTTTAGAATAGGATAATCTACAACTTCTAATACGCTTATGTCTTATCAAGAGAAAAGGATAATCTATTCTTAATCAAGATTAGACAAAGCTCTGATATTGTAAGTGTATTCTTATCAATCTTCCAAAGACAAGAACTTGATAAAAATAAATAAATAAGTGAGACTTTTCTCAAAGAAAGATGACAAAATAGAAATAACTAAATATGTATATTAAAAAAGAAACTAAAATGGCTACTACCAAAAGACAAGAAAAATAGAGACCCTTGAAACTAGATTAGAAGCAAGAAAGGAGTTGACAAGAGTGAAGAAGGCTTCATTCTTACCTCTATATATACTATCTACCTAGAAGCTATGTGGCGACATTCTATAGGATCTTCAAAAACGTATTGACTTTGCATAACACGTATCTTAACTTGCAAGGTAATTTTTCTATGTGGGCACCACATAGTTAGCTTGTTCCGCAAGCTACCAACATGTGTGGCACGTGGTTAATTTATTAATCAAGTTTCTAACCTACCAATCAAGTATAAACATATGTAAAGTTAAAACAGCGTCCATGAAGCTTTTAGGAAGTTACTCTAAAAGATATTATGAAATTAATATACTTTTACCTATTTCTACCTATTCACATCATCTAGGTAATAATTATAGTAAATATATGTCCATAACATCAAGAGCATTAATAATAGAATCTAACTTTATCTCTTTAGAGTCTATTGTACTGACTTATCCACCTTAATATATGTGCCTTTCAATCTTATTTCAATCTTAAAACAAGGAAGACAGTTTCAATAAGGATATAAAATAAAAACAATAATAAAAGAAAGTGACATTCAACTAAAAGAAGACATTATATGAAACATGTCAAACAAGGACACAGACCACAGAAGTGGCCATAGTTGCTAACAAACCTTGTTATAAAAAAAACAAAACAAAAAGAAACATGCAAAACAACAATAATAATAATCATCCCTAGACAATAGAAAGAAAAAGATGGGCAACAGTCATGATACAAAAACCATTCAAACGGAAAACACCATCACCATCCAACATTAGAAACCCCATGAAAGGCCATTTCCTCCAAGTCAACACGAGAACTAGTAAAAAGGAACAAGTAGAAGAAGGACATGGAGCGAGAGAGAGAAAGAGCAAGCAAAGAAATCTTTTTCTTCTGGCTCCATGTCCTTCTTTCCCCTTCACCCGCAATCACAGTAGAGTAGAGTAGAGTAGGGCAGGCAAAGGGACAAAGCTGGCCCTGCCTTCGTTCCTTCGTTCCTTCCTTCCCTTAATGCTCTCTTTGACCAATTCCCCGGATGGGTGGGTATGTATGTTTACGGGGTGTAGGGTAGTAGGGGTGTTGGGTAGCGGGGGTGGGGTGCATTTTCCAGGAAACCTCACTGACTAGCATTGTCGTGGTGGGGGGGGGGATCAGAGGAGGAGGAGGAGGGGAGATCATTCCAGCGTGGCCCTGCTGTGATTGCGGGAGAAGGGGAAGGGGAAAGGGAAGTGAGTGAGTGAGTGAGTAAATAAGTAAAGTAAAGGGGGCCGAGAGAAGTGGGGAAGGGAGTGGGCCATCCCCACACATTGCACCAGAAGAGGAAGAAGGAGGAGAAGGAAGAGAAGGGAAAAGGGAGGACCCACGACCACCAAAAGCAGCACTAGGAAGGGGAAGGGAAAGACCAGGACCCCCATTACACCATTACCGCTACTTGATCTTCTCTCGTCCTTCCTTGTTGCTACTGGCCAGCCCCCTCCCTTGTTGTTGTTGTTGTTATTGTTGCAGTTTCTGTGTGTTTCGGAAACTGCAGTGGAGGGAAGCAGCGAGGAAAGGCACTTGGGGTGGGACGGGACGGGACGGGAGGCGACGGGAGGAGAGGGATAGTGTCATAGGTGGGCCGTGTTTGCACCCAGATTCCACGCAACGCGCCTCCTCCGTCTCTATGAATTTGTCGCGGTGCCCGGTTTTTCTGGTGCCGCCGGAGATCTGAACAGCAGCAGGACCTGGGTGCTGTTGTAGGAGAGGTGGTAGTAGAGGAGTAGGGGGGCAGAAGAAGATCATTAAGGAGAGGAAGAAAGTGTGGAAGTTTTGGATTAGATTCGACGGAGGGGTGCTGGCCGGTAGTGTGATTAAATTGTGTAGAGAGAGTGGGAGATAGGGAGGGAGAGTGGGAAGGGAGGGGTTGTGAGATAGAGCAGAGGAAGGCCGGAAAAGACGCAGCTGCAGCGAAGGGATCAAATTAGACGTGGGGTAGACACGGCTGCTCTCAAAGCCATGAGTCTCTTTGGGCTGGGCAGGTGCGGGTCAGATTTGGGTTTGGATGTTGCGAGATTGGTGTTCTCCTTGTGGGTTTTGGAGTGATTTGCGTTGATTTAGGGTTGATGAGATGTTTGGGGTGGTTGGGGTGGTTAGGGTGGGGATTTTTGCGGTGGATTGGGGATTACTGATGGTGCTGTTTTTGGGGAATGTAGGAATCAGCGCACGTTCCGCCCGAAGAAGAGCACTCCTTCAGGGAGTAAGGTACGAAAGATTAATGGGCTTTCAATGTGATCTTGTCGGGGTTGTGATTGATTCGAGGGACTGGAGTGGCCCAATTGCTGAGTGTTTTTGGGCGGTGACTTGCAGGGTGCTGCCCTGCGCAAGCACATTGATGCGACTCTTGGAAGTGGAAACTTACGAGAGGCCGTGCGCCTACCTCCTGGCGAAGATCTCTACGAGTGGTTGGCTGTTAATAGTAAGTTTTAGCTATCCCGAATTTCCCTCTAATGGTAGCCGCGTTAGGCTCACGATCAAGGTCGTACTTATTTTCGTGGCATCAGATGGGTGACTTTCAACTTTCAAGCACTTTTGGAATTCTAAATGTCAAGCCATTTTGAGAAGAAAAGAAAAGAACAGAAAATCAAAGATAACCGACGAAGTCTGGGATTTGTGCTACTTTGTTGAAGGAGATAGTTGCATGTTACGAATGCTGATTTAATAGTGTCTGCTTCAAGCTTTCTTCCCTGAGAAAAGGTTGTCAGGGGTATACCATTGTTCCGATTTTTTATTTCGACCCTTTTCTGTGACGAAATTTGCCATTTCTCATTCTGTTGCAACTCGCTGTGGGGCAGCCGTGGATTTTTTCAACCAGGTGAATCTACTCTATGGAACATTGACCGAGTTCTGCACACCTGAGAACTGTCCTACTATGTCCGCAGGACCCAAGTACTACTCTATTCACCCTTTCGCAACAAGAAGTGATTTATATATTTACTCGTCATTCATTTTTGTGTTCTCGGCTCCATTTTAGTAGATAATTTTGGTGCTCAATTAAACCCTGAAATGGTTACAATCCTATCTCTCATATACCTGATTGTCTATTTTCGAGGTGTATGGGTTGAAGTGCAATTTAAGTGACTCTACCATCGTAGACGCAGTGCCTCGTACTATGAAAGAAATTTTAGACCTGGTTGTGGCCACAATTCATGGTATTCGTGAAGAGGATGCTTAATGTTTACCAAAGTTTCAAAACAGTAATGTAGAGGTGAAGTTTCGAATCTCCTGTTTGGGAGCTAGTGTCTCTTTTAGTACGATAAGCGCAACGTTTTTGGGGCGCAGGTACGAGTATCGATGGGCTGATGGGGTCACGATAAAGAAACCTTTGGAAGTTTCAGCACCGAAGTATGTGGAGTATCTAATGGACTGGATCGAAGGACAGCTTGACGATGAAGCCATATTTCCACAAAAAATAGGTCTACCTACTTTTCCAGATACCATTGTTTTTAGTGATTCACATCTTTTTATGATTAATTGTATGCATATGAATAGAACCATCGGAAAGTTCAATGAAGGGATGCAGAGCTAGGCTGGGGATAACATCTCTTTTCCACCTTCACGAATGAGTGTTGTGCTGGCTTATTTGTTCGCAGTGCATATGGTTTGGCTTCCTATTGCTGATTCTCAGCAGTTAATTATTTTATATAGGAATTGCGAGTTAATGGAGCTCCCGAGAGCTTGTAAATCTAGAATCTCAAAATTGATCTAAGCATGAGGATTATTCTTTTGTAATATGTTCCGCTTGATTTGGCACTGCAGGGGCTCCGTTTCCTGTAAATTTCAGGGAAGTTGTAAAGACTATTTTCAAGAGATTGTTCCGGGTTTATGCACATATATACCACTCTCACTTTCAGAAGATTGTCAGTCTCAAAGAAGAGGCCCATCTGAACACCTGCTTCAAGCACTTTATCCTTTTCACTCATGTAATACCGGTTACCCCTGTTCCATTTGCTCGGCGTTGTTATGATACATCATTTAAAAGTTTGATGGTCGTTACGGAATTCGGTATTCAGTAATCTAACTGTCGTAATTTTCTTGTTATTCAGGAGTTTTCGTTGATTGACAAAAAGGAGCTCGCACCACTTCAAGAGTTGATTGAATCAATTTTCGTACCCTACTAACCACGTCGCCCTCTCTAGTGTCAACTAGTCTTCTAGTTGGGAATGATGATGTTTATAGGTAAGATCCGGGAAATGCATAGCCTGTGGTTGGACCAGTAGAAGGTGGTGTCGACCTCCTGAACAACGTAGTGTGAAAATACAAAGATAGTGCGTACCTACTGAACAATTTACAATTGAAGGTAGTGGTAGAGAAAAGACCATGCTTGTGGTCTTCTTGACCGCTAGTTGGTTGTTATTAGACTGGCCTGAGGTATTGGTGGCATAATAAAGGTCTACCAACAGCGTCAATGTAGAAACTGGATGTGTATCCATCCTCTATGACCTGGCTCGAAACACTTCTTTGTTCTTTGAACCACCTCTTATTAAGATTATTTGAACTGAATATAAGTCTGCGTTACTGTATCTCTCTTTCTCTCTCCACAGTTTTGATGCTTGTGTGTAATTTCAAGGTGTTGTTCATCGGCCACTTTTTGTACAACCAGTTTTTGAGTGTTGCGGCCGCTGCTTATTGTGTTTGGAATGTGCATGGTCATTTGATACCCTTGCTGAAACAGGAACTCTTGGAAGTGGCAGACGAGGGTCTGCATTGTCTTGCTTGGCAGAGTTATAAAACGCCCAGTTATGAGAGGGAGGATTGCAGTGTCCATTCAATACAAGCTGTGGACATCAAAAGAACTGGAGGAACAATTGGGAGCTTCAAATCTAATGTGACAACGAATGACAGTGCGGGTGTTGAGACTATACCCATAGAAAAAGCCCATGACAACTTCGAGGACTTGGGAAATACGAAGTTGAAGGATTTCTGTGAAGCAGCCGACGAAAATGTGTTTCTTGATTCTGAGGTTGGGGATAATCGTGTTGGGGTCGAACACGAGCATCTTTTGCAGTTAGATATTCACTCATTGCAACCTGGAGATCAGGATGACAGCTCGCACAAATTCTTCAAGTTTCAATCTCTCGACGTGAAAGAGAGCGACGAAAATGAGAAGTTCTTCATCGTGCAACCCTTGGAGTACAAGTGTAAAGACCAGGATCAAGTGATTGATTTGATGAAGAACCAGGGTTTGAATCATGCTCTTAGGAACACGGAGTTTCCAAACTACACCAGTTACGAAGACTTTAGTGATATAGAAATAGAGGACTTAGAGGCTGAAAAGGAAAATATATCACGGAACATGACTGAAGCTGAAACGTTTAAGATAACAGCCCCATGGCACATAAGATTCAATGCAGAGAAACTAACCATAAGAAACTCCTAGATGCAGGCAGAGGGGACTCCTACTTGGAAAACTACGAAGAAATTATCATGTATCCAAGGTAACACAGGATAAAACTCTCTTCAGCAAGCCTCAAATCAATAACTGGCAGCCTTGGGAATTTCAACCTGTTATACTTCCTCCCTGGTGAGTGTAATTCTGACAATCCATTCCAATTTAATAAGTATCGATAGCAAACAGATCATGAGCGGAACAAAAATGCCAATCCTCACGCTCTTCACACAACATTAGAGTTTCGTGGGGTTTCGCTTCACTCCAAACCCTCGCAAGTCGACTGATCATTCCTAGGAGATGTACTCATCTATTGAAGGTTTGCGACAAGTGGCTTTTTTAGACGAGTTCCGCCCCTGTTCCAATCAAGAGATGAGCTTCAGGAGCCGTTTCTCATCGGTGTTGTTTTATTGCGACATACCCGACTTTCAAAACGTCGGTAGAGGTACGAGTGACAGTGCCTGCCACTTTCAAGCAACAAACATGATCGTTGGCACACAGCCCCGGGAGGTTGCAATCTCATATCCACCCTCCACTTCGTTTGCATCAGTAGGTCGTAAGAGATTCATCCCTGGAATGGTTCTCAACCTTGCTGATTCCTCCACGGGCTGATGTGTTGGTCTGTCTTCTCCTACTCCAATGGAGTCGTGTAGCAGGATGCAGGTAACGCCAGCTTGACTCGAGGAGGATAGACGCATCACATTCTCCATGTCGCCACTCAGAGTTAAAGAGGTACCAGTCGGGGAGGATCCAACCCAAGTTATTTCGTTGGCAAAGTCAGAGAAGCCTTTGAGCTTGTGAGATTGGCAGTGTCAGAGACGTAGGTTTTTGCAGGGTGCGGTACAGCAGCTGCACAGAGAGGTACCTCTGGTTGTGTGGAAATCACATGCACGCTGGCTGGATTCCCTCCTATCTGTCCATTAGCCTGTAGCGAAAAGCGAGTAAGTATCTGTGATTCACACACTCTGTAGACACACGATTTTACAGAAACACTTGGGTTATTTCTCAAGAGGAATTTCATTCTATGTGGAATGAGGAAGTCAACAAATAACTCATCATGTCTGTGCATTCCTCGTGATTCATTATAAAAAACAAAAAAAAATGGTTTACATCCTTTTTCAAGTCCACATGAGGAACATGTATGAGTGCAGATGTGTTGCATAAATCTTCTTGTTGTTTGTAAAGTGTTGCAACAAATCTTAATTTTTCAAATTTTTGAAAAACAATTGTGGAATTGCTATAGTGTGTATGAAATAAGGGGTAGCAAATGGTGGGGATGATGCAAAAAAATAAAGTTTTGTTGTGTTAATGAAACGTCTTGACATTGTTGAAACATTGGGAATTTTTAATAACAGTGCTACATTTCTTCACAAACATGGTTATGGTTGCAATCAATTAATTATCTAATTAATTTTTATTAAAAAGAACAGTGAAGTCATTTCCAAATACCATATATTGATTTTTAAACATTGTATTTTTTACAATCTAATTTTATTTCAGTAGATTAACTTGGATAGAAAGTGCCATAAATGATATACTCATAGTTCTAGTTTATTGAGCTACATAATACAATGAAAATTATAATAACACAAAAACTTGGTTTTATTCAACAAACCTTTTCATTCTTTTACAATTATCTTAAATAAATAATGCATGCACAAGGCTTTAAAGATATACTCATAATAATCACATGTTTCTGAAAACAAATTTATAAAAATAATTTAATTCTTGTTTAACTAAATATTATGGAGGAGCATATTTCAAAATACTTGTGAAGAGTCTATGAAAATGAAGATTGAACATAATGTTGGAATATTAAAGAAAAAAATTTAAAACCAAAAAAAACTATACATATAATTGTGAAGCTTAAAAGATTAAATATATACAACATTTTATGCAAGAATAAATTGTAATATTTACAACATACACTTGCATGATTATTATGACAAGAACTTGATTTGAGTCAAAACAAAAAATTATAAATAGTGATAAAAAAAATTGTATACTCATTGAAACTAAAGTCTTAAAATATCATAACCTACTATCATTGTAACAAATGTGTATATGTAAAGATTTGGTTGTACAAATGATGGTTTTTTAAAAATGTGTCATACACATAAATAAAAATATTAAATATTAAATATTAATTTTTATTATAGCTATTTATTAGATTATATAGAAGATTTTACCATTATCATTATTTTGAAATTAAATTTTTTTTTTCACATCACATTATTTATGTTATTATGTTGTATATTTAAATAAGATAACATGTATTCATATAATCATTAATCTTATTATTATTTTTAGAATAACATTTCTAAAATAAAAAATATATATTTTTTAAATTTAACTTCATATCTATTGGCTTAATATATAGAATTATTCTTTTTTTAAAGAATTTTCGTCATAAAATTCTATTTTATTACTAAATTTTTATATTATAGCTTGTTATTTACTAAAAATTTACAATATTTATTAATCATTTTTCAACATATTTTCTTACATATTTTTATGTAATTTCAAAAAATGTATATTTAGTAGAGATGTTGTAAAACTTTGATGTGGATTAGCATATTTTTTATTTGAGTAAATAAATATATTCACATATATTACTCATAATAGAATTTAATTTTTTTAGTTTGTGATGAACTAAGTATAAAGTATTATGAATTCTTCATTATATTTTTCAACACGACATTCTTTGAATCATCTAAGAAAACCAATTTGAACTTTTATAGTAGATACAAATATATGAAATCAATAAAATAAAATATAAGTCATTCATAACTTGACTTGTATATTTTTTAAATATATTTTTGTATAGTTTTATATTTTTTTTAATAAAAAATTTAAAAATATCATTTAGAGAATATTACACTTTATTAATTTGTGAAATAAATCGATTTTGTTTTGTTTAAAATCAGTTTCTATAAGTGGATATAATATTATAGATATATATGCCATTTATATAAGTAGAAGTAAACCAAAGTTAGTAGAAGTGTATTAAGTAGATAATATCTTTTTTAAGAAGTATGAGAGAATTTTTTTATTTATAGATTGGATCTATATGTATGTAATGCGGCAAAAATAACATCTTCGAAAAATATTATTTTAAAAATTTTACTACAGAATTATTTTATAATTTAAAAAATTAGCTAACAAGTCTTGCAATTATTAAGGAATCCCTATATAATATTCTCATTAAGAAGTATGCATATAGGTAAGATTAATGCCATCCTTAATCTTATTAATGTCTTTCTAGATTTAAGTCTTGGTTTAAGATTTTCTAAAATTTTATACATAATAATGTCCATTCTAATACCTTCTAGTTTTTACAAATATATATATATATATATATATATATATATATGTCTTCTTTCTTTCTTCTTTTTTTAGTTAATTATTCATATAATTTTTTAAAATATTTTTTCTAGATTAATGTCTTTGATGTTTTTTATAAGACTAATATTTGTAATATCAAGCTTAATCTTTTGTAATAAAGATCAAATTACCAAATCTTTTGCAAGTATCAAAGAACTCCAAAAGTTATAGATTATCTTTCTTTAAACTTGTATTGTCTTTACATCTTTATTTTTTTTTTTATCTTGTACTTACTTAGTTTGATTTCTTATAAAGAAGCAAAAGATCTTATAGTTATTTTTTCTATAAAATTAAATTTTAAAATTCTAATTTTAGAATACAAATAAAAGAACAAATAAGAATGTTTTGCTTCTGACAGTTCTACTTTATTTAGTACCATAACCAAACTTAGAATAAAAAGATATAAAGATATAAATATAATAGGAGTCTTTTTAATAATTATTATATTTTAGATTTTTTTTATTAGTGAAAATATAGAGATATATATTTAAAAAATAAAAGAGTTTATTTTAAAGAATTTAATAATGATAGTTTAATTTTTTTTTGGATTTATCAATTAGGTGTAATTTATTTATAAACTTTATATACAACATTATCCAATTTCAACATATTAAGTCAAGTTTATTAAAACATTACTCAATAAAACTAGTTTTACCTTGGTTTTCTTGGTTTTACATCAATAAAAAAAAATAATATCCTATAAATTACATGAATTTGTGGAAAAAATTTGATATACATTTAGAAAGAAAGATGCAATTTTAGTAGTTAAGTAGCAATAAATTTGAATTAAGTAGCAAAAAATTAACTAATTAATTTAAAGATCAATAATTAACTAATAAAGATGCTAAGAATTGACATAAAGATGAATATTATTAAATATATCAAATTAAAATGTGACCTCAAGAAACTATTCTTGAATTCATTTTTAGTATTTATTTACTAAATAAAAATTAGTTTTTAATGAAATTAAAATATATTTTTTCGGTTTTTTTCATATAATTTTTGAAATTATACTCTGTTGGTTTTAAAATATTGTTGTGTTAGCTACAATCTTACAGCATGTACAATTAAAAGTAAAAGAAATGCAAATTGATAATGTGAAATTTAAGTTTCTTACGAAATAAGAAAAGACCCAATATCAGCAAGAACATTTGAATTTATGTTATAGAAAAATAAATAAATTGCTCAACATTTTCAGAAGAAACAAGACAATCTCAAAAACATAGAAGAAAATTATAAAAGAAGAGATTGTATCAAAAAATAAATTTGTCAAATTACAGTGAGAATTGTGCACTTAGATTCTACTACAAAATTATCTTATTAAGATCATGTATTGTCTTATAAATTATGTCCTTGTTTTAATATGCAATTTATTTTAAGACTAAAGAGTTATATGGTTTTTAAATTTTAAAGATTTTTGAGCTTTTAATAGTATATTAAATAAGTATTACAAAATATTTTTAATAAAAAAAATTAGATATATACATTTGGCTAGTTTTTTTCTATAATACTTGTATGTATAAATCCTCTTTGTAGATGTAATTTTACAAGGTATCAAAAGCAGTTATAATTTATTTTTAGAATAGTTTGTGTAACTTAGGTTGCAAAATTTAAAAGTTTTTACTATTATAGTCAAGGTAGAATTTAATAGAATTAGAGTAGAATGACAAAGATACAATTGTTTAAAAATGAATTTATGGTTTAAGTAATATGTGTTTTTCTTATAAAAATAACATCTCTGTTGGAATTAATCATCTAATATTAATATAGTATAAATACTATCTTTTGAAGCCAAGTGGATTTTATGTTCATTAACTTAAATTTATATTGGATTCTGGAACTTTGTAAAGTGGCATCAAATGCCAAGCTTCATACAAAATTTATAATAGTACATTTAAGTAAATTTACCATTGTTGTAAAAATAGAAGAAGAAGGATTTTTTGTTGGCATAGTTTTCAATAATTATTTATATATTAAATAAAACATGATCAAACCAATTATACTTCTTTTTTTTGTAAAAATAAATGTAAGTATAAAAAAAAATAAGTCTTTATTAATATAAAGAAAAGAAGTGCACTACTAGAGGTTTAGATCATCATGGAACTATGGGGTCTTTGTGTACAAGAGTTAATAATTCTATAGCTTGAATAACTCATGTTGTAGGATATAATAATCTAAAATGTTTCTCAAAGATGTAACCTTTATATGTTAAAATTTTGGATTTTAATAGAAAAAAATTATATAATATTGGTTTAATATTGCATGGAGCAAATGGATAAAATATTTAAATGACAAAGACCATGGTGCCAAGTTATAGTGGTGAATGTATTATTGAAAGAATGGTCATAGCATATATTTTTTATAAAATATATAATAAAAATCTGGTCCAAAATCAATTAATATTCTTGCTAATCTCAGAAATCATATTATGAGATAAAGTTGATGAAGAGGATGTGATTAATTACTAGTACTATAGAAAAGCTAGAATGATGTTATCATTGTTGGTTTTTTCAGTGATAAAAATAAACATCTTTTTCAAATCTAGGGATGTAAGTATCTAATGATGTAAGTATCTAGGGATGATCATATGTAATGTGCTTGTAGTTGTAAGTTTATCATACCAAAGTATACAACTTAGGAAGAATTTTTGTCTCTTATTAGTTTTTTAGAAAATATCACAGAATTTGTATTTATAGAATAAAATTTGAAATAAGTTATATCCTCATAATTGTTCTTTATATATCTGAATAAACTTCAAATTACATAATTGGTTCAATGGCAAGGAAAAATTCAACAAAATGCTTCTTGAATTTGGAATTAAAGAATGCTTTACAAAATATTTGAATATTGAATTTGTGTTTAATTAACCTTATCCAAAAAACCTAATCAATTAAATAAAAGTTCAAAAAACATCTCTTACATAGTCCTATGCAGCCATCCTTACTAAAACAACATGCACTGCTAAAAGTAGCATAACTTGGACTTAATTTAACCTCCTACATGTCAAGCACATAGTTGAATGAAATTAAACACTGTCAATATACTCAAGATAACATATACCACTTTCTCAAGACTAAATTCCTCACCAACATGGTCCAAACTATACAGTCAACCTTAACAATTGTCGTTTCTTCCAAAACCAGAAGAAAAACAAGATAAATAAATAAGCTATGCCTCTCTCGAGTTGAGCATTTGAGCATATGTGAATTAGAGCATAATATTGAGCATGACATGCACTGTGAGAAACCTGTTCCTGGGCAGCGAGGGGCATTTGCTCAAGTTTCACCAATTGCGTTGAAAACCAGCTCAGTGAAAAGCGGGCGTCGATGATTTCATGATTAACCAGTTTCTAAACCTACATTTAATCCAACACTAAATCTAATGACTTAAAATACCTTTACATAGAAACAAACCTTGAAACACTAAAGTTGCAGTTATGTGACAAAGTTGGGGCACATGGGTGGATCATTTGGTGTGAACTAGTGAAGCAGCATAATGTTAGGACCGATTCCGACCTCATTAGCACCAATTTCATGGTCTCACTAGACGCAGAAAACAAAAAACAAAATCAGTTTGTAGAAGACAACAATGTTGATGGAAGTATGCTCCCAACAGGAAGCAATGGATTGTTGGTCATTTCCAGCATTGTACAAGTGGATACGTTGATACGCTGGTACTCATGTGGGCAGTAGCTTGTTTGGTGTGAGCATGTGAGGCAGTGGGACAGACCCAACGGAAAGAATCAAAAGCCGAAGCGGAGCAGGTTCCAACAGAACGGAAGGAGAGGAGGAGAGGGAAGCTCTGGAAAAAATTTGGACCATTTCTCGATTTGTGCGTGTCATCCTTGCGCAGGGGCCATGCTAATCTTCTCTGTATCGTTCCAATTTTATCAGATGTCTCCGAAGAGACGCAATCTTTACGATCACTACCGCTGTATATTTCTACACTCTTGTGCCACGCCATCCCTTATGGGCTCTCTATCGCTCGCCAGCATTCTACGCACATTGTCCATCATCTGCCTGTTGTTACACTAGTTGTTTGTGGTGTCTCATCCTCGAAGGTCTTTTCATCGATGCAAACCATTGAGGGGAAGGCGACAACTGTACATACTATTATCTAACGTCTGCTCTGGCCACCTCGCTCTACGTCGAACCCAGATTTCGAATGTTGAAACAAACCCAGGTCTCGGATTTTGGTTGTGGGAACACCACACTGCATTCTGTGCACAATCGACACCTTCTCATCGTGGAGCATGCCGACGTGATGGCAAGACCGATGCCGCATGCACGAATGAATGCTGGCGAGCGATAGAGAGCCCATAAGGGATGGCGTGGCACAAGAGTGTAGAAATATACAGCGGTAGTGATCGTAAAGATTGCGTCTCTTCGGAGACATCTGATAAAATTGGAACGATACAGAGAAGATTAGCATGGCCCCTGCGCAAGGATGACACGCACAAATCGAGAAATGGTCCAAATTTTTTCCAGAGCTTCCCTCTCCTCCTCTCCTTCCGTTCTGTTGGAACCTGCTCCGCTTCGGCTTTTGATTCTTTCCGTTGGGTCTGTCCCACTGCCTCACATGCTCACACCAAACAAGCTACTGCCCACATGAGTACCAGCGTATCAACGTATCCACTTGTACAATGCTGGAAATGACCAACAATCCATTGCTTCCTGTTGGGAGCATACTTCCATCAACATTGTTGTCTTCTACAAACTGATTTTGTTTTTTGTTTTCTGCGTCTAGTGAGACCATGAAATTGGTGCTAATGAGGTCGGAATCGGTCCTAACATTATGCTGCTTCACTAGTTCACACCAAATGATCCACCCATGTGCCCCAACTTTGTCACATAACTGCAACTTTAGTGTTTCAAGGTTTGTTTCTATGTAAAGGTATTTTAAGTCATTAGATTTAGTGTTGGATTAAATGTAGGTTTAGAAACTGGTTAATCATGAAATCATCGACGCCCGCTTTTCACTGAGCTGGTTTTCAACGCAATTGGTGAAACTTGAGCAAATGCCCCTCGCTGCCCAGGAACAGGTTTCTCACAGTGCATGTCATGCTCAATATTATGCTCTAATTCACATAGCATGTGGCTTTTGATCGTAAGCTTGGTCACTAAAACTTGGGATCAAGTCCACATGCTATGAGGATTTGAGCACTAGCAGAAGCAAGTCCTACACTTTTATAGGACTTGAGAAGTACAATATAAAACCGCTAATGACATATCCACTACCATTAATGCTTAAGAAAAGAGTAGAGGAATGTTTCACATCTACCACTAGAAAAGAGTCAACGAATCAAACAGAAAGAGATTGAACTAGTAAATTAGAATAAAAACGGTCTCTGATTAGAGAGAGTGAACCAGCTTAATTACCGCTGGTGCATCAGAAGGTTGTGTGCGTCTGAGTAGCATAAACTCGTGTACTAGTGTCCGTTCCAAAACTGAGTCTATTAAATATGCACATGTCATGTACACAAAGGCATGTACAAAAAGGATGTCAATCTGCAGGTTCACGACGTAGAATTTACTACTTTTACGAGCGGTGGTGTAGACATATTTGTCACCATGCACATGTGGTCGACGTCCCAGGTAACAAGGGTTTTACCAAGTACGGTTTCAGCTTCTTCAAATGAAGAGCCTGTCGTTGATGAAGGGAACGGGAGTTTCGAGGTCCTGTCTACCTTAAGATCCGACACTTGAACTAGGCACAAGCTTTCCTCCTCTAGACTATGTCCCTGCCAGGAGCCTTCTACTTGGAGAACAATTCCTACAGCCATGTCTTTACCGCTCTTACTCCGCAAGCTCACATAATCACCACCCTTCCACTTTCTTACCAAACTGTTACTAGAATTGTGTGGCTCACCTTCACTGCCAGCATTTGAGGGTGTTCTAGAAACTTGAAGGGACAACTTTAAGGGAATAACCTCTCCTTGATCTATATCGTCATATTTCAACCGCGGTGAGGTCTCTGCAGGACTATCCATGTCATCGGAGGCGACAGATCGAGCGGGGAGAGACTTTTCAGGTCGAGTCATGAGGGCATCCCCTTCTTCTTGACGCTGCTTTTCACGCTCTTGTCTGGCGATACGGGCTTTCCGGTTGTTCAGCCTGCCACACGCCAAGCTCACCAACTTTCAATCAATACAAACCACAACACTGCGGAGTAAAAAGGATGTAATTTAATGCAACAAACCCACGAATGTTTTAACATGACTACTACAGTATGAGATGAAGGGTTAATTGATCGCCGTCTCAATCACATTCTTCAGGAGAATCTGATGAATTAGATAATATCAGGAAAAGGCGCATGCACAATCTTTCACTCGTCAGTTTCTGGGTCTATCAGATACTATATGGCCATGCTTTCAGAACCATGAGGTCCAAAACGCACAAGGGAGCTTCAACCGTAATTTGAGAACCCCAGCAAGTCAATGTTTTCAACTTTTTACACCATTCAGAGATGCTGCCCTGTGACATTGTCTCGACGTATAAGGAGTTAAACGATAAAAGAAAGAACAAATGAACTTTCATCTCAGGTGAAAATTCGGAGGAGACTAACTTCAGACTCAAACTGAGCAAATGTGCCATCCAATGACATACCAATTCTTTAGCTGATGATACGCTACCTCCGGTCCCTGACATAGATTAGACAATCATCACCATTTCTCTCAAAAAGTGAAAATGCAAGACAAATGATTACAAGTTTCCAATGTCAGCATCCTATTTCAACAACTTGTAGCAGTCGATACGAGTGTTAAAACCAAAAACAATTAGAAGAAAAACAAAAGCGAAAGCGATTGAATTTTACGTTAACGAACTTACGATTGAATTTAGATGATTAGTCCATTGCTGGATCAACTTTGGACTACGCTGCATTTCTGGTTCAAATTGAAGAGCCGCTTCCATTACACTAACTTGTTTATCGCTCATAATGTTCCTCTTCCGTTTCTTGGGCTGAGATTCATCCCCATGTTCGCTACTGTAGGGCTCACGATCCCTACTATTCCTCGTTGCCGGAGTCCCCATTCCACCAAAAGTCACCCCTCCACTTTCTTGTTCCCCTCTTCCTATGTCCTCTCGTTCTGTGACATTGGCGCTTCTAGATTCTACCTCTTCTTTTACCACCATAGTTGCAGACTTAATCTCAATTTTATGGGTCTCCAACTTTGTTGAGACGCGCTGGAAGGCAATGACATCACTCTGGGCAGTTCCATCACGCTGAACGGAATCCTCTTTCACATCCTCCGTCTTCATCACCGCTGTTGCAGTTGGAGTGGTTTCTATATTATGCCCAGTAGCTTCTCCTGAAGTATGTGGAACTTCCTCCACCTAACGAATGACCCACAAGGTCGAACTTCAGTAGGCGCACCCAGCATGACGTCCATTCTAGCATTTATTGAACAGACTGCGTTCAATTTCCGCAGGCAACTTTTAAGGACCAGGAAAATTCTGTAAATACCAACGTTTCCTCTGCTGACAGTAAAAAGCAGTTCATTCCACTACGGAAAGACCAGCCCTCTTGTTATCCTGTTGCAGACGTATGCTCGTTCATTAAAAGTATGAATGTGGCGCATACTACACAATAAATGATGAACACAAATAATGTCGGTACGTTAGTGATAAAAAAACAAAAATCAGGAATTTTAGGCGCAGTGATGGTGGGGAAGTCCTTTGTAATGAAAATCTTTGATGAGACTCAATCATCTGTATCACTGTCTCTGGTGTGCATATGCTCTGGAGTACGTACTCTTATTACTAAAAAGAAAGTGTAAATCGTTTCCTTGCTGTGATCATTAAGTTGTTGTGTCGATGCTGAACGGTACAAAGTACCCATTGAAGTTCAGCTGTAAATCTAAGAACATAACCTACACAATTTACCTTGGATAGTGCGTCCACCTCGATCTTCTCGGACTCATTTGACGCCTGCAATGCACCCTCAGTTGCACCCACTTCGTCATTGCCAGACTGCCTAGACTGATCCAACCGCTTCCAGCGTTCAGATTGCTCTCTCTCATTCTTCCATTGTAACAGCTTTTGTTCATGCCCATCACGAACAAAGCTCAACAATGGAGCATCCTGCTCACTCACAACAAGACTTCAATTTAAGTGTGCATCTCAAAAGGCACTAAGTATGGAACATGTTATTATTCTTTTATTCCCTAACCGGGCATTCAGGTTGGATTTAAGAAAGCTAACATTAGAAATTAGGTGATTTTAGTAAGTTAAGCCTTGGTTCTAGCCTCCTTACATGTGTCAATTCAAACTTCTGGGTTGTTGACGAACTTGGAACACCTAAGATAATTCATCTGATCTTGTCTCTGATGCAGATCCACAGCCTACGATTGACTCAGCACATAGCTGCCCCGAGTAATCAACTACAAGAACCATGTTCAGCAAGAATTTGGTGTATTTTATGAGCTACCAAAAGAAGGTTAACAGAATTACGAGATCCTGTTAACAAGAGTAATTTTTGTGGTAACTTTTTAACGTCTGTGTTTTTAATGGACTGTGGACGAATTAATGATTCAGTTTCCAATAACATGTTATGTCGTACGACACGTACAAAGGGGAAGATGATGTTTCAGTAAAGTAGAACATACCGCAACACTACCAGAAGACGGGCAGATCTGAAGATGGAGAGCCTCTGCAAAGTCACTGCGTAAAAACCAGTGCAGAGAGTTAGAAATAACTAAGGGGCGGAAGACGCTTACAATCGACAGTAACGGGAAAATGAGAGATTTATCTGATGAAGTACAATCTCATTTTTCTTGAAATACTGCACGTTTAAAGTTGGCAAACAAGTTCATAGCCATCTCAAGAACTAATGAACTTCCATTCAAGAGCACTAAATAATAATAGAGCTAATTAAAATTGGGCACATATAACCTTAACCGCAATAATCACGGAAGGTAAATACATCGAAAGACATTTCGGAACCAATTTTACCTGACAAGAACAAGATCATCATCCACTACAGTATCTGATGTCAAGGTCAGGACATAGTCATACAGTGTATCTGCCATAGACACATCAAATTATAAGTCGAAAGGCTCCAAGTGGTGTATGAAAGGATGTGAAAATCAAACATCTGTTCGGTTCGTCACAAGTCGAGACCATCACATCATTCGCCAGTGCTTGCCCACAAACAAAAAGTGCTCTAGAATATACATGCTCAAATACCAAGGCTAACGACAGAATATTGTCCTAAATGCAACATAAGCTCCTGAGCCATTTAAACGATTTGTTCGGGAAATCAATCCAGCATCTCGTGTAAAGATTAGGGATTGAAAATAGTAAATGTCGTAGAGTCATGGATAGAAGCTTACGAAGATTCTCACAGATTCGCACGGCTGTCCGCTCAAAAGTTAGAAAAAATAAGGGGTGAGATAGATCTAAAGGCCCTTCACGAAGACACCGCAAGAATGTGTGCATGAACCGGTCCTTCTCATCAGCTGCATGAACAAGTATTATCTTCAGTGATGCGATATAACATCAAATCAATCTACGTACCATGAGAACTGAACACATTATAGAATCAACAAGAAATGCAAGACGATAGAGCTACTAAGACAGTCGTGGAACAGCAAGCAAATGCTAGCCACAACTGAATTGCAAGAAATATTACGGTATGAGAAAAAACTAGTAATCATAGTTATTAAGATTTAAAAAGCAGTTTACGACCCAGCCTCTTCAAAGCGCCTCCAAGATCAAAGACACTCAGCATGCACTTCTATAAAAACATAGATAGGCCATAGAATGAGGAAAAACCTTCACATGCATAAGGCAGTAAAACTCTTGTCTGAGCTAATCAATAGAATAAGATATGATGCAATCTAAGGATATGAATTGCACCAAAAAGGAAAAATGAAAAGAAAATATAATACAATATAAATTCAGATGAAAATATACCTGGGCAGACCTCGGCATTAAAACAGAAAAAGTTAGCAAATAATTTCACCAACAGGGCGGCCCGAGTCTGATGAGCACTGGCTACCAAAGGTATGATCTGGAAGTCAGGGGGATTGCAAGGCTCTTCCTGGATAGGAACACACGCACCAACAACCTTAGCAGCCGCTGCCATTGCTTCTCCAGCAGCTTCAAATGGGTCGAATATTAATGATGCATCCTGCTCTCCTACTGCCAACTCTCGAGCTACAGGACCTCCACACCAGCGTTCTTGAAACTTAGTCGGATGAACTGCTAATACAGATGCCAAATCAGGAGCCTGCGCAAACAAAAAGCATATGTCAAATTATTACTCTTTCACACATCCATGGAAAACAATGCAATTCCAGACTTTTTGGGCAGATTGAAGCCTGCAAGTCCAGTGAAGAACAAAAATCCCAATCAAGGACCTCTCTCACACTGACCAACAGTTTGATCCTGCGAAAGCAAAAGCATCTGTCAGAAGATAAGCTTATAAAGCATTCACGCACAATCTGGTCCATCACCAAGTTGCGAAAATTCGAGTCATCAGAAAAGATGTCAGCTAGGCGCAATGAAGTTATATGCATCAACCCCATAGGATTCTTCTTTTCCTCTTCTTCATCTTCAATAAGTCTTGGATCCTCCAGCAAAGCACCTTTCACTAGCAAAAGTACCTGCAAATAAAAATATATAGAATACTTTGAATCAGCAAGCATACGATCTCAAAGGATACCCTCAAATTATTCGCTTCAGGCACTTCAGTTAATTATATGACAAACGTGACTTTAAACAACTTCTTCTGGTTGTTAGAGAAAGAAATTGAAGCTGATCTCATATAAGTTTTTAAGACTTTACTCACATTGCAAGCCTATGGTGTGACATGATAGATTACTCAGAGATGCGAACTGCTCACCTCATATGCAACATGCTCCGCAAGCTGCATGGCATGTGGTTCAGCAGCTACTTCATCCAAGAATGAACACTGTTCTGATTCACAGAATTTCAGCATCTGACACAGCATAAAAGGACATTCAGATACTAATCTCCGATAACAGGACAAGGCTACAACTTAGGAAATGACTGCTAAACTACCTCTAGAGAAGGGTTAATAATAACCTATCAGAGAAAGAAAAAAATTAAAACAAATCATATGAACAAATAGGCAACTCAGTCTGCGAGGCGTGTTATCTAATGAGGACATATCAACATTTACAATCCTCACATTATGTGCCAAAATAAACGCCAACAAAGACTACGATAGAGAAAGGACATAGCAGGAACTAGCAATCCGCACACAAATCCCTTTTCACAAATACTTACCATTACCAAAGCTTTGGCTTTAGAACGAGAGAAAGTCGCTCTTAAAGACTTGGAGTTGGAAAATACAGGCGGAAGTTGCAGCCTCAATACTGCCAAAACTAATTTCAAGATGCCACCGTTTTTGCAGAGCTCCTGTCACAGTTCAGAAGAGAGCGAAGCACTGAGCACCCTTCGTGCAAGAAATTCGAGAACAGTAAACTGATAAAAAGGAAAAGCAACCACGCTTTCCAAAACAGAATGAGGTAAAACCAGCTGCCGGTTAGACCAAAAAGCAGGATAGAGAGGAACGCTATTGCGTTCAAAATCAACATAACCATTTGTACTGGCAGAACTTAGCTCCAAAGTTTAGAGTGAAACTGACCTTGTGACTAAGTACTTGATCTCTAAAATTTGGTGTAACACAAAGATGTTGAAGGACTTGTAATGATGCCTCGCAGTGCAATGCAGTAACTTGAGCAACGCGTTCGGCAGATTCAAATGTGGTCTTCTTTGCAGAGAGCTTTGTATTCAGAGAGCGCAATTTCACTTGAAGCAACACAATATCTCGTTTGACAACATCAAAGGCGGCATCCATGAAGACGTCGACCTGATCGCAATCCATCCGAAATGGAAGTATTGTAAAACACAAAATTCTAAGAGAAAGAACGGACTCTAATGATACTTACAATATAATGTAGCTTAAGAACCCACACTAAAAGGGTATTAAAGCAGGTAGATCTTTATCGTTTCGTGTATATGATGGATTATGTATCAGTTGTCAATCCCTAACCACCCTTAATTGCTTTGAAAAATTCATAAAAACAAAACAAAACTGTAAATTACAAAGACTTGTTTGTTGCCATTCAATTAAAATGATATGGGAATCCTAGCCCTTGCGCCGGCAAGAAAAACATTTACGCACTCTTCCAGTTACACTCCAAAAATATTCAACACAAAAGACACAAAACGGCAGCCCAAATTACAAAGTATACCAGTACCTTTGGATGAGCAAGAAGGACATGAGCAATATCTAACCAATCATGGCTGATAAAAGCCATTAACAGGTACAGACTGCAAGCCACTGATGCAGCATGAAGCACCGCTATGAAGCCCCCACCTCGACCCTCCTGTACACATACCAAGCCACTAAAACATGACATAAAAATTGAAACACATATATCAGAACGTCTACCAAAAAGAACATTGTGCCTAGCCCTTTTAACATGATCACTTCCACCAGATTAAATGCATCACGAAGGAAAACTCGGTGATGCTTTGCCAAGGTATTAGAAGGACACCCAAAAATATCTTAGGTCGCCAAAATTTTCGTACTTGATAAAAGAAACCTAATAACAAGATAGAAAATAAATGAAAGTGAAAAAAAACGTAGTCATAAAAACAAATTAATTTTAAAATTCGAGAGATGGGAAACAAGACAATATTACTAACCTGCTCCATATTAGCTAAAACAACAAGCATGTAGGTGACAAGATCAAGAATCTGCATCCTTATCTTCACGTCCTGTAGCAGTACCTACAAAACCACCAAAAGAGTGCAGTCTACACCCTGAGCTATAAAGGCTTATCCAGATACACGATCAATGAGATGCACTGTAACTAAATAACAGGGGAAGCTGTAAAGCACTACTGGAAGTCAGAATAGGCTAAATGTAAGTCACGCAGCTATTGACCCAATGATGCATCTAATTCACACTCAGAATTGACCGATTAACGAAGTTTTTCTGTGCTACATAAATCTGGAACCATTCTCAAAACACGAGATCACAAAAGCAATTACAAAATACAAAACTCTGAAGAACTATTTAAATAATGGACAACTCCCTTGAAAACTCTGTAGGAAGGACTTTGAAAAAAATTGGGCATCTACCAGAATCCATAGAACACATCTAGAATAATAAAGGTTCCAAACCAATGACATTAATACTTGTTAATATGTAAAGTTGCATTCAGATAGCACACCTGAGCAAGTTTAGGGTAACCATGAGCCAAGGAACTCAATGTGTGAAGTAAGCGGACAGAACGTAGCCAGTATCGCAGCCGTGGCTCGATTCCACTGGAAGCAACACATGCCATGAGGTGCAATGGGAGGCAACTGGCTAGCTTTTCTATATCCACCTGCAACCAGTCCATTAATCAAGCAAACAACATTTTGAAAATTCAGAGATAGGATGTCCCAATGGGTGTTTATCATCTTGTTCATAATCAAACACGATTAACCTGACGACTAATGACCTCAACTAGACTTCAGAGTATCTTTGACATTATGCATTAATTGTTGTTAGATGATTGTTGCGTTGATGCTCATTCAATTAACTATGTTATTAGCAAAAGGTGCATGATATTAAGCTATAATCATTCACGTGTCCCCAGTGGTGATAAGCTCAATTTAGTAAAATGATTCTTTTTCCTTTACAAGTTCATCCCGTAGATACAGATTCACTACGAGAGAACTATCATCCTAGAATCCAGACGACAACACCGGAAAGAGATCAAGAATCTATAAGAAATGAGATAAATGCTCCAAAACTATCAGCATCGTTAAGATGATCGAACGAGAGAGCTCACTGTTAGTATTACGCCTTTTGCAGAGCTTAGTTTTAGTACAAGAGACTCTTCTTCCTGTAAAAGTGAGCTCATATCTTTTGGACTTAATGCATGAAGTTCCTCAACGGCAACATACTCGTCAATAACCTGAAGAAAGGAAGCTCACAAAGACGTTATTTCTAGCATAAAACATCCAAAGGATGAAAAGAACTGATCGGCGTTGCGCTCCTAAAGAGGACAGAAGCGGAGCCGCAAACAATGTCCACTACAATTGATATTATACTTTAGCTTCAAAATGTTTACAAGAGGATCCCGTAACTTAGACGCCTTTAAATTCTGCCACTGTAGCAAATAACATTATCATTCTGTGGCATGCTTCCAACACAAGTGATCCAATACAACAACTACGCTCGAAACATGAGTGTGAAACACCCGCTACTACGGTAAGCCGTTACTAAGGTACTTGATTGCACAAGGCACTTGACGAAAGTCACTAACGAATCTGGATTCTGAATAGTAGCATCACATGAATCCAGAAACTGTAGTTCAGTTTTCAGTGATTAAACCCTAGATAAGCATGTTCACAAATTCTTAGAGTAAAGGAAGATAATATATGAAAGGATTAAACAGTCACAAAACTCCACATCTAATATAAATTGGAAATATCAATCGCACTCGCCTGAAACATCGTTGTATCTATATATAAGAGGAGCACCACAAAATCAGTATAAAAGTGCGGCCAATTCTAACGTTGTCCGTTTTGTAAACAACAAAGAGAGGAAATATTGCTTACGTTAGAACTGCGAGGTGCCATCTCTTCTCTGAAACTACCTGCCTGCATATGACGGTACACCATCACGTCAGATTCACCCACTTATCATTCACAACAGCACTTCGGATAATTCAGGTACACCCTGCTAATGTTATTAATTCTACACATGCCACACATCGACTAAATTTCCCCTCTCCAAAATTCATCAGATCTAAACCTGACACCTTGTGTGAAGTTAAGCGCAAACTCCGTACAAATGAAGACCTTTTAAACCACTTGCACGTTCTCTGTGGCAATATGCGGCTCTTAGAAGCTATTCCTAACACAAACGTCCACTTAACTAGACAGTTCCACTAAAAATTCAAATTGTTAGCCTAACCGCGTTACAATATCGACTACTCGCGGACGTGAAATTCAATTCCGATAATGAAAATATAAGCTAGGAGACAATCAGAATCAAGTCTACTCACAAGGCGTTATTTTTACACATAAGATGAGACACATGCACAAAGTTCAGAATTTGTGTCAATCAGTACAATTTGATATTTTCGACAAATAGAATGGAATCCAACACATGATAACTTAAAACTTCGGTAGCGGACACAAGTTTTGAGCATTTTTCATGAATTGCATTTTTGTGGTTGCTTACTTGTGTGAGCGCGCGCACGAGAGCGTGTGACAAGTTGACATTACGTGTTTTCATGCATGAACTGAATTTTCCACGTATATAAGAGCCTTGAACTCTGAACGGCTTAGAAACAAGAATTAATCCTAGACCTACTAGAGGAAAGAAGCCCACAGCAATATACTTTGAGGAGAACGATTGAGTTGCGAGCACGAACTCAATGAAAAAGGGTCGGTACTACCAATTCTCACACCTGCTTTGTCTTCTTCTAAGGTTCGGATTCCTTAAAAGTCGAATCAAGACTCTGATCAGTCTCCAGATGCTTAAATTTCCTCGACGAAGACTCAAGAACCTGATCAGCCTCCAAGATGTCGAAAATATTCTCCTCCCGTTCTACGCCCGTATTCGTCACATCAAGCATTCTCTGCCACTTTACAAACTCACATCGAAAGGACTAATCCAATCCAGTGACCTCCAACTCCCTCTTTAACTTCACACACACACACACACACCCCCCCCCCCAATCCTAATCGCTCGTGGACAACAAACTGACAAAAAATTCCTCCTCTATAACGTAACACTAAAAGTCTTCTAAACAAACTCGACAATACCACTTAAGATGTTCTCTCACACATCTAAATCATCAACACCAGCCAACGACCGCAAGAAATTACACCAAAAACGGTTACAACCACGAACCTTTCAATACTGACCTCTATAAGACGAAAAGAGCAACCAGAAACGAGGCTAAGAGACAGAGAAGTCTAAGAAAGGGAGAACGATGTAACATTCAAGGGAGGGAGGCTGAGCGCAGCCGAGGAGAGGGCAATGCAAATGGCTCAGGGAGACCTACGGGGGCTGCAGGTATCCGCCATCGCCCTCGACGCCTCGAACGAAGAAAGCCAGAGTTTGTCGTCTCAAAGAGTCAGTCTCTCGCCTGCGTCCCAGCTCCTGAACCCCCCCCTTTCCCGGGTCTCACGTCCCACGTCCCACCCTCTTATTCCCTCGATTCCACGTCCCCTTTCAGATCTTGATCCTTCAAGGTTTCGTCTCAGAAAAATTTGTTTACTACATATCGTATCAAAACTACCGTATGTCTACTTTACATACTCTCTGATGCTTGAAATACGTTTTGAGTTCTTTTCATTGTGAATATTTTTCATGATAAAATTCCCCTGGACTTATCACCCTTGAAGCTTCCAAATTTCTTATCTCCTATATTTTGTCGTGAAATATAATTAGACGTTACAATTTAAAGCAAAGAATATAGTCTTAGTTATATGTTCAAATTGCATTGAAAAAATTGTTACATAATTCTTTCTCTTAATTTCTTTAGTTGTTGGTGTAGAATGCTTTACGACTTTTAACTGTTGTGATTTTGAAATGTCATGTATGAAAAAACAATGTGTTGATTAACTCAAAATAATCAAATTATGTCAGTTAACCAATCTAAATTAAACCATAATTAATTCATTACAACTTAGAATGTGTTTTTAAAAGTATATAAAACCACCAAATTTAATATATTAAATGCTGATATAGATATACCCCACTTAACTTATAACCTTGATGGATGAATATATGATGCATAACATCAGTGTGCAATGTATAAAATATACTTCTTATTTTATTTTTAAAAACTATTTAATTTGGGAGACCAAATATTTGTAGTACAGGATCCTTAAAAAGAAGAAATCGTCATTGATCTAAAGCTTTTCATGGATTTGTAATACATCATTCCATAATTTGTATTAGCAGCAACATTACAAAACAAAACTTATGTATGTTTAATAACTTCTTCAATGAACTAATAATAAGATTGATACTTTCACATGTTCTCATATTCATGTATAATTGTGAATTATATTTCTTTGTATATATGCATATACCTACATGCATACATAAACACAATGTAATAATTTTTTGCATGTAAGATGTCTTTGAGTTATAGAATCATTTTGAAATTGTATCTTAATTCATTAAATATCTGATGTTAGAAGTTCTAAAAAATTGAATCAACACACATTATCTTTGAATTGATTTGAAGTAATTTAATATCATTTTTTAATATAAAATAATGTTTTCAAATTGGTATTTAGATTCAATTTAATAAAGAATATGTTAATAAAACATATTTTTTTTATTTTACTTTTCTATGAGTTGAATTGAACGATTATAATTATTCATATCATATGCAAGATAAAATTATTATGATTAAAAAAATCTATTTCTTTCATAATTATTGTACCATATATATATATATATATATATATATATATATAATAAGAGAAATCTATTCCTCAAGCTAAATGATTGTCAAAGTCATTTAGCTAATGAATTATTTTTTAATATGCAATATTTGCAGTAGATCTACAATTCATATTTTCCCATTTAGCTAGCAAACAGTCTTTGCCTTCAACGATTGTAAATTGTTTCTTCAATCAAATCACATGTCAAACGACGATGTTGTATAGCATTGCTCTGCTACAAGGTTATTACAAAGATGAGTAGAAACCAACTACATCTTTGACTAACATTCTATAGTATAATGCAATAAATTATTTTGTCTTATTTCTTTCTTTTCACAAACACTATATGCAAAATTATTTTACATAATATTATATTTTAAACAATAATTTTGGTTATGAAGTGATTTAAAAGATCATACATTTTATGATTTTATTTCTTAAAAAAATGTTTTCAAAATTTAGATAAAAGTTAGATGTTTTCAAAATAAATCCTAGAAATCAATATTTAATACAGAATAACAATACATACACACACACGCATATATATATATATATATATATATATATATAATCTTGAGTTTTGTGTTAATGCCTTGAAGGAGATTATGATAAAAATAGAATAAAATTAGGGTTGCATTGTGATATAGGAAAAGCATACAGAGAGCTGGCCACAGTCAACACACATATTTTTTACACACACAGTTAACACACATATATTAACCACAGCCAATCACTGATTTTACTGAACATACAGGCACCATTTTCTTTTATAAATAAATTTATCTATATATATAAATTCAAACTTGACTGTGAAATGTATCTCGTGGACAATTAGTCAATACCAACATATGGATTTGTAATAAAGTCAATATATTTTTTGTAATTTATTAGGTAGGTTTGTTATCAATGGTCTTGATTGTTGGTTGACAAGTAATTTTATCAATGCACAAGATATATTAATTTATTCTTTTTATATTCAAATTAAATGTTTCTTATATTTATTTTCTACACAATTATGATTCTAGAAAAACAAAAATGGTGATTTTGTTTATTTTAAATTTTTCATGTATTCAATACAATTTATTATTTCAAAGAAACTAAAACATAATATACATAAAAAGAAAATATATAAATAATTAGACATGATATCTCTAAATGCTTTTGTGTACATTTTATTTTGTTTAAAAAGAAGAAAGCTAAGATAATTAGAAATCAAATTAATAGCTTGATTTACTAGCACAATGCACAATGAAAAAAACCATACTTAGTTATTAGTTTTATTTTTTTTTAACACATGAACAACGCAATAGAAGATAATATCAAACAAAAAAAATACATAGTGTATTGATGTGGTATATGATTGATTAGATAATTCAAATATTTGTTGTATTCGATGATCCCTTTATAAGTTAATATCCAATAACTCAATAACCTCTATTGCATGATATTTTTTGCTCCAACTAGGTCTATTTTATGGTAATAATTCAATATTTCTATTATCTATTGAATTATGTAGCTAACTATCTAGCAACATCTAGCAAAAAATTAGAGACACATAGACAAGAATCAATAGTAGTAGTAATAGTTTGGGCAAAGGATACTCTATACTATGGTAATATTGTATAATTACCTAAGACCTCATGCATTCAGTTCAGAAACATTTTACCCTCTCTTATTTTTTATGTATACATCAATTTTTTATTTTCTTAAATTCTTCTAGTTTTTTCTGAGGATTATATAAACCTTGTGGGATTGATCCAATATAATATTGTTAAAACATTTGAATAAAGATATGCATAACTTGCAAAGATTTGTGATCTTTAGTCCCATTGATTGTTTTATAAAAATGAACCATTTTACTTGGTTAGTTTAATATCAAATATATGGTGTATGAAAAGTATAATATCTGAAAAGCTACATAGAAATATATTTTGAAATATGATGTTGATTATTCTAGAGTAAACAGTGACTACAAAAGTGTATGAAGGTGTTTTTATTATTATTATTATTATTATTATTATTTCTTTTAATTGGATTTAAATTTGGTGCATACACCAAAGAATAATACTATCTTTACAACTAATCTCAAATTTTAAAACACACTAGTGTCTTCTACCAAAACTTAATTAAGAATTTCAAGCATATTAATGAATCCCAAAGTATTAACAAAAGATATTTAGTACAGCTTTTGGTAGATTAAGCAAGTGCACAAATTCCTGTAGGTGACACTAGTATACACTCAAAGCTAATTTTGTTGTTTTCGAAATTTACTTCATTAAGATCCGGCAATACATAGAAATAAAATAAATAAATAAATAAATAAATAAATGGTGATGCTTAGATTGTATAACTAAAATCAATTGATTCATTTGAGTACATTAATTATTGGATAAAATTACTTAGTGATATATATTGGCTTTGATCAGTTTTAATTTAATTCTTTCTTTCTGTCGTTACATTTGCCAACATAATGCATATATATATATATATATATAATATTGCAAACATATACAAGCCTAGCAAAAATAATCCTAACATGAGATTGTGTTTTAGATTAGGTTGAAAAAACCAAACAATAAATCTTTTAGAACATTTTCAAGGCTTTTTGTTATATATATATATATATAATAAAACAATCGTAAATTTACTTTTTATTTAGTTTGTAATGAATTTATGCAAGTTTAGATAGAATAAAGAGGGTAATATCATTAAATGAGATCAGTGATTTGGTTTTATTTATATTTCTAGCAAAAATTGTTATCTAAGTTTACCACAAAAAATCATTTGACATTATATGACCAAATGTAGAAATATACACCTACACATAATTTGCAATCCATTTCTTAAACATTCTGTAGTTTTAATATCATATTTTCATTTATGAAGTAATGCAAAACTACCCAACTCTAAAATGGCTAATTTAGATAAATAAAGATTAACAAATCATAAGTTGAATATTATTAATTACAATCTCACATTTTTAATACTATTCAACAAAATTAGTTCATAATATCATAGTTATGTGTTCTCATTATTATTATTATTTCTTTTGGAGAAGCATTATTTGTTTAAAGTAAGTAAAAATAAATCACCTATAAATACACATATTCAACTAACTTACACGTAATTTTATACCAAAAATAAATTTTTGATGAATATATTTCATAATGCAAAAAACGAAGATCAGTATTAACAACAACAATAATAATAATAATAATCATAACAACAACAACAACAACAACAACAACATTCCTCACAAAAAGAATTCTAATTCAGAATTGATAACCAAATGACGGTACCCATATTTTGATTTGTGAAGAACATCATTGAAGACACTCAGTTTTCCTTCACCATAGAAAAAATAGCAACAAATAACAACAATAATATGGTCACAGGTCGAGATGCCACATTTTATTAATTGTACTGAAATATCCTTTTCACTATGAACACAAACAAAGTTAAGTTCTAAACCTGACTCAATAGGCAAAGGGCACATCCCCTCAACACATCCCCTCCCAAGTAAAGGACAACCCACGAGGATGGTCCTGTCCATATGTACTCCTCGTGTAAACAGGGTTGTGGCTAAAATCAGACCCTCAACGAGTGTGAACGAGGCTGCGTGGTTGTATTAGTGTAAGCTTTGCATGGTTGCGATGGAACGTTAACCTCGTCGTCGTCGTTGTCGTCAACAGAACCCTAGTAATGGTCCCCATCGAGTTTCACGCACGTTAGTGAGTCTATGGCTTGGGTCGATGCCAACCAGGATCGCGTGGTTCCGTCAGAACAAAGGCCTGCGCACCGTTTCTGGTTTAGAACCTGAATGAAGTGGAAGGGAGGATGAAGAAGAGGAGGGGTGTAAGGCGGAATGCCACATTAAGATGCCAAAGGATGGCATCACTTCTTGTTGAAGTTCCCCCGATGCTCTGGAGTAACCGTGTTGCATGTGCGTCTGAGCTGCTTGCAACGGCAGTTTCCACTCTCGGATTTATATCGTTTATTACATACATGTATATATTTTTCTCTCACTCACACACACACACACACACGAAGGATATCTCGCCAGAAGAATAAAAATATCTTGAGGAAAATCATTGCAGCTTGCTTACCGTTCCTGAACAAACACCAATCGAAGTTGATTATTTTGTATGATTCGAAGGAATGTTTGAGAATTTTCTTTTCTTTTCTTTCTTTTGTCAAGGTAGCGAACATGACTATGCCTGAGCATGTCCACGTGAGTACCTTGAAACCGACTGAATTCCCGTGTTTAGAGCTCGGTTTGATGTGGAGCTTACTCCATGGTTTCCTGCTCATGGCATAGTTTTTGTTTCATGTCGTTTGTTTTGTTTGTTTTCCTTTAGCTCGTTGCTGTTTGATTTTGTTTAATCTTTTTTCGTTTTCGTTTACGTTGATTTTATTAGGGGGTGACGGAAGACCTACTTTGGCACATCGCATTCTAGGAGAATATATGGACTCTTTCAATCCTGTTAAGAGGGATCAATAATGTCACTTCATGAAAGTGTGTGCGAGCATTCGTACTTTGTGTTTGTCATCCGCGCTAAAAAAAGGTGGAGAAACTGGGCGTAGATGATGGACCTAAGGGAAGGTACGACCTAGAGTTCTGGTGCTATTCCATCAATACTTCGTCGTGGTGGCCAGAATCGCGGTATCAGGAAGATTACACGGTTAACTGTGGAGATGCTCTGAGCAAGGTACCCGATCATCAAATGTGACGGGAAGTACCGGTAAACAAAGAGAAAGATAGGCAGTAGTAGGGGAAAAACAACCATGAAGCAAAAGAGAAATGGGGTGTAGGACAAGAGAAGCTTCACCCCAGTTTCGGAGGGTGTGTTGCTCTTGTAGCTGAGAGCTCTCGGTGGCCTGCAACCTGACCTTCGTTCCGAAACGGGTTACATTCAACAAGGTCGAAGGAGGCCTTACAGACCACGCAACTGCCGAACTCACTCGTTTGAGTCGACTTAATCTCTTGGAACCGACTGGAAGGCAAGATTCAATATCTAGTTTGTGCGTTAGAAGGTCAGAAGGCGGTGCAGCAGCTTCCAGATCTTCACTTTACTTGTAGCTTGCAACTTGTGAGTGGAATGCTAGGCTATATAACGGTCTTGAATACCTGCATTGAGAGCAATTTATTTTTTAAGAGTTGGGAAACCACTTGACGCTACTGGCTTGGTTAACAGATTAGTGAAGAGTAGGAGAATCTTAGGAGTTCGGAGAGGGTTTGGGTGGTTTAGAATTTGAGAATCGGATTTTCTTGTGAGTGAGGTGCAGGTTGCGAGAGAAGACGGGGTTGGAATTTACGAAGAGGGCAGTGGAGACCGAGAGGTTGTGCAAAGATGGCCGCTTCTGGATCTGGCACGAAGTCTGAGGATGTTCCTCCAGCTCCGGAAGGGTATGTTGCAGTTGTTTTGTTTCATGTCTTTTTGTTGTCGGTTGAGGATGTAGATTAGTTTCTTGTTGCGGTGTGCACTTCGATCGCGTGGACGAATGCTGTGCAAGATTGTATTATAGGTTTGGTTTCACAGACGCCGTGCATGCTGCAATTTCATACTATTCTACATGGAGGCGCACGTGTGTGGGGATTCTTCGGGTTAGTTCTTTGGTCAGTGCACGTAATCAGCGCTTTTTTCACAGTGGATGAAGAGATGTTTCAGTGTCAGGTCGTAATTGTGGTCTGTTTTCTTGCGATGTATTTGTGTTTATCTAGGAAGTCGTGGCTTCACCTTTTAGGAAAACACGGCGTCTCGTCAATAATCTGTTTCAGGGTTGCAGTTCTTTGGATCAGAGTTCTTGTTCGTGGAAATTAGTTTTAGGGTTAGGGCTACGACAGGGCGGAGGTTCACATGGTTCGGCACCTTGAATTTTTTCTCCTTTGGTCCGTTTGAGGACTTAGGGGTCCCCCCCCCATTGTATAGAGTTATGAATGCAGAGATATTAAAAGTGCGTCAGGGAAGGAACCAATATTTTGTTGGTTTCATGTTGGATTCACAGAAAGGCTTCTGTGTTTTTGTTCCATTTGTGTTGCCGCATTCTCATGGGGTCTCTGAGAGTTTGTGGAAGCTTCTAAGCGACGATTTGCCTTATTACCATTGTTTTCTTACTGTTTAGTATTTCGATGTGCTGATCGCAGGAAAGGGACAAAGAGGGACTTCACAACTGCAATTCTTGAGCGGAAAAAGGCTACCAACCGCTTGGTTGTTGATGAGGCAGTGAACGATGACAACTCTGTTGTTGCTCTCAACACAGAGACGATGGACAAATTGCAGCTCTTTAGAGGTGACACAGTGCTCATCAAAGGCAAGAAACGGAAGGACACCGTTTGCATTGTGTTGGCGGATGAGACTTGCGAGGAGCCAAAAATCCGGATGAACAAGGTCGTTCGAGCCAACCTTCGCGTGCGCCTTGGCGATGTCGTCTCTGTGCACCAGTGTGCTGACGTGAAGTATGGAAAGCGCATTCACGTTTTACCTTTGGACGATTCAGTTGAGGGTGTTACCGGCAACATCTTTGATGCGTATCTTAAACGTACGAACAGTTTAAGCGGCTATTCTTTCTCTACACATATTCCACCTTGTTTTGGTGGTTTTGGGATGAGTTCTTTGCAAGTTCAAAAATTGCTAACGAGTCGGAGAATTGTATCTGCTGCTTTGCTACACTGACAAGTCTTACATTTTGTTCATGTTTGCAGCTTACTTTATGGAGGCATACCGACCAGTACGGAAAGGAGACCTGTTCCTCGTTCGCGGAGGGATGAGGAGCATAGAGTTCAAAGTCATTGAGACTGACCCAGCTGAATACTGTATAGTGGCACCCGACACTGAAATATTCTGCGAGGGCGAGCCTGTGAAGCGGGAAGATGAAGAACGCCTAAATGAGGTCGGGTACGATGATGTTGGAGGAGTCCGTCGCCAGATGGCACAGATCAGAGAGCTTGTTGAACTTCCCTTACGCCACCCCCAGCTCTTCAAGTCTATTGGAGTGAAGCCACCGAAAGGAATCCTTCTTTTTGGTCCTCCTGGATCTGGAAAGACTCTCATTGCAAGAGCTGTGGCGAATGAAACTGGAGCTTTTTTCTTTCTCATCAACGGGCCTGAGATTATGTCAAAGCTGGCGGGAGAGAGTGAGAGCAACCTCAGGAAAGCTTTTGAGGAGGCCGAAAAGAATGCGCCAGCCATTATTTTCATTGATGAGATTGATTCTATTGCTCCTAAGAGGGAGAAGACTCAAGGAGAGGTTGAGCGGAGAATTGTGTCTCAGTTGTTAACACTGATGGATGGTTTGAAGTCCCGTGCGCATGTCATTGTGATGGGCGCCACCAACCGCCCCAACAGTATAGATCCTGCCCTACGTAGATTTGGCCGATTCGATCGCGAAATCGACATTGGAGTCCCCGACGAAGTAGGCCGTTTGGAGGTGTTGCGTATTCATAGCAAAAACATGAAGCTAGCTGAAGATGTTGATCTCGAGAAAGTCGCAAAGGAGACACATGGTTTTGTCGGAGCAGATCTTGCAGCTTTGGCTACCGAAGCAGCTCTCCAGTGTATCAGGGAGAAAATGGATGTTATTGACTTAGAGGAGGATTCCATTGATGCTGAAATTCTCAATTCCATGGCGGTCACAAATGAGCACTTCCAAACTGCACTGGGTACAAGCAATCCTTCTGCACTTCGAGAGACGGTTGTGGAGGTGCCCAATGTCACCTGGGAAGATGTCGGTGGTCTCGATAACGTCAAGCGGGAGCTCCAAGAGGTATATTCTTTCCTCAGTTGTCGTTTTTTTCTTTCTTTCTTCTTAAAAGCTCTTGCCTTCATTGGTTGTATCCACCTCCCATATGTTGAAGTTAAGCTATTTGTGCACTTCGCTGACCTTGTTTTTTTTTTTTTTACAGACTGTGCAATATCCTGTGGAGCATCCAGAGAAGTTCGAGAAGTTTGGTATGTCACCTTCCAAGGGAGTGCTCTTTTATGGACCACCTGGATGTGGTAAGACGATGCTCGCAAAGGCTATTGCTAACGAGTGCCAAGCCAATTTCATCAGTGTCAAAGGTCCTGAGCTTTTGACCATGTGGTTTGGAGAGAGCGAGGCTAATGTCCGCGAAATCTTTGACAAGGCCCGAGGTTCAGCTCCTTGTGTGCTCTTCTTTGACGAACTCGACTCTATTGCTACTCAAAGAGGAGGCAGCGGCGGTGACGCTGGTGGTGCAGCAGATCGTGTGCTCAACCAGCTGCTCACAGAGATGGACGGCATGAATGCTAAGAAAACGGTCTTCATTATCGGCGCTACTAACCGGCCTGATATCATCGATTCTGCCCTGCTGCGACCAGGACGATTGGACCAGCTGATCTACATCCCACTCCCCGATGAAGCTTCCAGGCTTCGGATTTTTCAAGCATGCTTGCGCAAATCACCTATTGCTAAGGAAGTCGACCTGGAGGCTCTTGCCCGTCACACTCAGGGTTTCAGTGGTGCTGATATTACCGAGATTTGTCAGCGAGCTTGCAAATATGCAATCCGTGAAAATATTGAGAAGGTTCGTACGCTGAAAATTATCTTGGAGCTCTTTCGTTTCACTTCCTTTTGCATGTTATTGTTCCTACATGTGATGTTAGGAGTGAGGGAGCTGAGAATGAGTCGGACTCTTGTGTTCGACGCATCTCCCTGAGAGCAGTTGCTTAACGAACTTGGATCCCTGTTTTTTCTGTGCAGGATATTGAGAAGGAAAAGAAGAGGGCAGAGAATCCTGAAGCAATGGAAGAAGACGAGACTGATGAAGTGTCAGAGATTAAAGCTGCTCACTTTGAGGAGTCTATGAAATTCGCTCGCAGGAGTGTGAGTGATGCCGACATCCGCAAGTACCAAGCTTTTGCCCAAACGTTGCAACAGTCTAGAGGCTTCGGTTCAGAGTTCCGTTTCCCAGACCGACCTGCCACAGCTCCTGGAACCACTGCCAGTGCTGCTGTAGGTGGAGAGTCTGCGTTTGCTGCAGCTGCAGCTGATGAAGACGATTTGTATAATTAGGAGATTCAGTTGCCAGTCCATAAGTAGAGGGAGCTGGGGAGTCAAGGGTTTTAGTAGTTAACATTTGTTTGTACAGACGAATATTGAGGGCAGGTGGCATTTTTTCCTCGGTTCTCCTGCCTGGCTGCTTTCTTTACCCAATGGGGTGCGAATTCAAGGCAGGAACTTGATTCCCAGATTTTCACTCTTTTGGATTTGTGTGTTTAGATAAGTAGGCACTGTGTGAATTCCATTGATTGCATCATTAATCTTTATCAAAGGGTACAGTGTTCAGAAATGATTTGGTATGTGAATGCCTCACTCAAAGGCAACATGCTGTTGCAATGATCTTTCTGAATGCAGTCGTCTCACTTTGTCAACCTAACTAGTGTACTGAACCTATACATGTTTTCCATCTAGTTTCATGAATAAGGAATTAAGAATCATCAATATGACTTTGTTTTCATACAATTAACGAACACACAAGCGTTGCTTATTTTTGTAATTCAAAGTTTGATAATACTATGGATTTTATTACTTGAAAATTACTTGAACCAATGATTTGTCTGATCACAATTTAATACACAATTCAGCTATTCATACTAAAAAAAGAATGCAAAATTTTAACTAAAGTATTATAAATTGTTTATACCATGTAAAATAAAAATTCCATAACAATCTATTATTTTTAAAATAGAAAGATGCAAATGGCAAAATCTATTTAACAATTGTGAATACCAGTAGAGAATTGATATTTCTACCCACACTTTTACTATTTCCACCCATCATGCAATGCTTGATAGCATAGGCCAACTAGTTTTGTGCCCTTGAGCATGCTATGGTTGTTGCAAATGCATGGTCTTGGTTATTAGTTGTATACAAAGCAACATCTTCAACTCATGCTAAATGTGTCTATCCAAGATGTTCATCAATGAACAATTGTTGGCCATTGCTCATAGTAACATCCTTTTCTAGGCAGCATGATTGGTTTCCAACAGCCCATCATTTACATGGTAGTTAAATTTAAAATATGTAAGTGTTAATTTGGGACATTAAACAAATTAGGCAAGGATGTTGAAATTCTCAAGTAGTACCCAAGGAATAAATATAGTAAAAGTGTGGATGAAAATATCAAATTATTATTAGTGATAGTAGAAAAATATAAATATATATATAAATTAGTGAATGATCTACAATCTTGTAAATGTTGCATGTCTCTTAATGTTAAGAATTAAAAATATGTGTATTTTTGAAATACACATAAAAAAATATAAACATGATTAATGAATTTGTAGTTAACTTATTAACCAAGTTTCTAACCAACCAATCAATTACAAACACATGTAAAGTCAAAACAACATCTATGAAGCTTCGAAGCAGCTAGTTTGAAAAATGTTATGAAATAAATCTACTTTTTTCTACTTCTACTTAATCATATAGGTATATATTACAGTAAATATGTATGTCCATGATAACAAAACAATAAAAATAAAAAATAAATATATGTAAGTTTTTATGATTTTTTTATTTTTATTTTTAAAAATTTGAAAATTTGAAAAATATTCTTTTATTAATGAAACTTATAATATCAAACATATAATTTCCAATTAAATTGCAATTTTGCTACTTAAATAAGGTTCTAAAATTTATATATAATAGAATCTCTTTTATCTTTTATATTACATAGAATTTGATTATATTTTTAAAAAATATGCAAGTGTAGCATTTCTATAGGTTGATAGTGGTATAAATGGATTTAATTGTGTTATATTATATAATCTTTGGTAGTAATTGAATAATAAAATGTACAAATTTTAAGACACGATTTTACATGAAATATATTTTAAATAGAAGTAAAAAATATTTTGAGATTACTAATTATAATAAATATTGGACAACTAATTTGTTTTATTAATTGCTTGTTGTAGTAATTGATTAAACATATAAATACTAGATTGTTAATACTATTTTGATAATGCATGTATAATAAGAGAAAAATTATAAAAATTATAAAATTATATCAACAAGATATGTTTGATATTAAAAAAAAATACAATTCTAAAAGTATTTGTAGAATTGAAATAATTGTTTTTAGTCAATTTGGTTTAAGTTGTTTTTTGATGCAAAGAATAAAGATTGGTTATGGCTTTTCTTTAGATTTAAAAACCAAGAATAAAAATGATTAATTCCTATATTATTACAATATTTAAAAGAATTAAATTTCTTATAATTATATATTTCAATATGATCCTTGATGGTGCTAGACTATAATTTTGAATTAAAACAGTTATTTTTAGAAACTTCTATATTAATACCCTCTTTTTTCTATATCAACATCTCTCTTTTAATATGTAGACACCTCATTTTTACTATATAGACACCTCTCTCATGTAATACCAATAATATATTACTACTACAAGTTTTTCAAGAAGTAAGATACTAATAAAGCTAAAAGAAATTAAAAAAAAAAAAAAAAAAAAAAAAACATCAAAAAAGAAAAATAAAAATAAAAACAAAAACATATAATAGATTAATATTAATAATAAAAAATTTCTATATATATATATATATATATATTAATTTAAAATAATAATATCTGCTTAGTGGAATTCTGATGTGAACACTTTTATTTATTTATTTATTTGGTTTGATTTGGCTTTGTATTGCTGGTATGGTAGTATTGTGAATTACTATTTTTTTTGTTATTCTTTTTGTATCTTTCAACTTTATTACTGTCCAACTTATTGAAAAACTTATTGCAATGGTGTATTCTTGGTGTAGCATGGAAAAGGGAGGGAGATGGAAGGAGAGAAATAATCTAGAAAATAAAAGGGAGATGTCTTTCTAACAATCTTCTTACTTTATTTTATTTTATTATCTTTTAAGTGATTTATGACTTATTTATAATATAGATATACACAAAGTGTTAATTGCTTTGATGTTGTAAAAATATAATGTTTTAGTTTTTAAAGATCTAGATAAGAAAAAAAAAAAAGAAAAAAGAAAAAAAGATTATGCTTACTGAATTTTATACATAAAAATACAAATTCGATTTTATTATTAAGATTAACTTAATTTTAGCGAAAGCATAATGGCTTATTGAACAAAAGTAATCTTGTAACTACTTTTGTTCAATAAGCCATTATGGCTTTATTTTAGTTAGAAAAAAAACAAAAAAAAAAAAAAAAAATCGTGTTAGTGAGATAATGAAGATATTGGTGTTTGTCAAGGAAATTAATTTTGACAAATCAAAAATCCAATACATTCTTGTGTAATTGTAAAAGAATAGATATTTATTCAAAACTAATATAATATTGAAACTTGAAATAAGACTAAAGACTAGAAAAACATTGACAAGAGTGAAGAAAAGTTTATTCTTGTCTCTATATATACTATCTAATTAGAAGCTACATGACGACATTTTATAAGACCTCCAATATGTGTCCAATTTATAAGACATGTATCTTAACTCACAAGGCAAGTTTCCTACATATGTGCCACATTATTAGCTTATATCACAAGCTATCAACTTGTGTGACACATGGCTTACTTATTGGCTAATTTTATAACCTTCTAATGACCTATAGACATGTACAAAGGTGAAACCACATCCATGAAGCTTCTAGGAAACTTTCGTACAAGATATCATCAAATTAACTTACTTTTATGTATTCATAGTATCTAAGTAATTATTGGAGTAAATATGTATGTTTGTGACAATGTCTATTGTTTAAAAAGAACCAATGTGTTAATAAAATAATGGAGACATTAGCACTACAAATAGTAGAAGATCACAATTGTGTTGGAAAAGCATATATATTTTTATATTTATAGTATATATATATATATATATATATATATATGTATATATATACATATATATAGAGAGAGACTAAGATAAAATTTCAAGATTGAGTAATCATTCAAACTTTTGTTTCAAAATTTTACACATTCACAATAAGTTTTTGCTTTGTTTTGTTTTATTTTATTTCCAAAATTCATTCTTACATCTACAAACCACTAATAGTACACAACAAAAAGTAAAAACTACAAAAATTAGATTCACATTCCAATAACATATAATTAAAACACAGAAAAACGAAGATAAATAGTACAATGATTACTCTTATTCTTAGTATATTTTTATAAACACTGATTTAAAAAACATGACAAATAAACTTAAAGTAAAATGCACTTTTTTGCGACGAGAAGCTTATCGCAAGGGCGAGCAACAGCCAAACGAAGCCAACCAAAGAGTCCTCGCAAAAGTTGATGCAGCGAAACCAAAAACAGCGCCGCAGAATTTCTGAAGCTGTGATGCGGGATTGTTGCCGCACTCAATCGCAGTTTTCACTCTGAATTTGTGGTTTCGTCCAAACTCATACAGTCGACGCAATTCGAGGTCGAAATTCGGTGACGATGAGTTTGGAAGCAGGGGAAACCGAGTTAGGGCTTCCCAGAGACTCGTGGCTATGGACAATGCACACAATGCAATGAAATCTCGTTGGTGCTGATCGTGGAATTGGGAATTAGGTTTGGCTGTGTCGTAGATTTTGTGGAGTTGATGGCGGTGGTGAAGCTGATGCTGAGATTGTAGGATTGATAGAAGTAGTGGACGAGGAAGCTTGGTGATTCAGGCATGGCCTTGCCAGTGGGAATGGTTCACAGGAGACTCGTGTTTCAAGCTGCTGCGTGGCCTCGGCCTGCAGCGATGGTATTCGGTGCTGGAGGATTGAGAAGTGTCATCTCTGTTTGTGGTAGCTTGAGTCGGAGTGCGAATGTGGCCAGATTACAATGCCGGTGCTCAGGGTCGGCACTGCGAGTGCGGGCATTGCATGGAGCTGTTGGCGAGGGAGAGCGTGGAGGAGGGCTTGTATTGGGCATCGAGACTAGCTGTGACGACACCGGTGCGGCCGTGGTAATGCATCATCTCCTCTCTTCCCTGCCATTCTGTTTTGAGGCTTTGTTTTAGTCGGGTAGCGTCTGAAAAAAAATGACAGGGCTCATCGATGAAGAAGCAGTGGGTTAGGTTCTTAAGGTCTCTATGAGTGAATTGATTGAATCGCTTGTATCGTTATTGCGCAATTGATGAGGGGAGAATTCGCTTCTAGGGTTTAGGGTTTAGGACAACATGTAATCCCTTGGCAAATTTTGTTGTTCAGCAGGATTGAATTGAGGTCAATTTAAAACACGTCATTTTGAAGCGTAGTCTGCAGGAGCTCTTGCCCATTCTGTAGCCCCACTTACCGCTGTCTAATAGGCGGCATCTCAGTTGTGTCACCTTGAATATGTCTTATTTGGTAAATTTTTTCACTAGGTTGGTTTTCATTGAGATAACTCACCCTTTGCGGTATCAAGATTTCTTATAGAATCTTCGACCTCCTTTACCTGTCTGAAATGTTGCAGGTCACTACAGATGGTCGCATTCTTGGGGAAGCACTTGCATCGCAGGTGGATCATAACAGTGCTGAGCCCTGGGCTTTGTTTCGCCTTCTCTTTCTGTTTTGGTTCGTTTTGTTTTGTTTTGTTTTGTTTTTGTTTTTGTTTTTTTTCAGTTGGTTTATCTGTCTTTGCTTTATTATTTGCATGATTCGTTTAATTTGGAGATTATTTGGCAAAGTTTTTAGTGTAATAGTGCGTAGATTTTGAACCATTTTCTTTTGTCAAAGCTTTATAACGAATTCTGATCGTACGTTGGTGTTGTATCTATGAAGGCGGACTTGCTAGTTCAGTGGGGTGGAGTTGTGCCCAACCTAGCCCAGGATGCCCATGCCAAGGCTATTGATAGGGTATGATAAAAACTTCAATTCGTGACAGTCCTTATATTCGGCCGTCCTTCGTGTGATGCTTCTTATTCATTATTAGTATAAACACTGATAGTTATGATTTTCTCTTAGAGATTAGGCAGTTATTGGTACTGGTGGATATTACTTGTTGGATCGTGTTCACTTGATTCATACCAATGTTAGTGAAATGATTCTTTGTGTAATCTGGATGAAGTGCAAATAATCTTTGAGGTGGCAGGTCGTGGCAGAAGCTCTTGCGAAAGCAAATGTCCAAGAGGGAGACCTTTCTGCCGTGGCCGTTACCATCGGTCCAGGATTAAGCATGTGTCTACGAGGTCACATCCGTGTCCCAATGTGCTTGGGATATTTTTACATATTATTAGTTTATTTTGTTGTAGGGTAACAGTCAGTGATTTATAAAAGTGTTCAAGTTAAATGTGTTGAAGTTCTCAGTCATTGGAAGGCTTGAGCATCATCGTGGAATACCTGACCTTTCTGCATAAATCACGATTTTTTTGTTCGTTAACTGGCTACAGTGGGCGTTAGCAAGGCAAGGGAAATAGCACGGGTTCACCGCCTGCCCATGGTTGGTGTTCATCACATGGAAGCGCATGCACTTGTTGTCAGGTGGTCTTACTTTTTATATGGCTTTTTTGTAACTGTCTGTGAAGTCTCTTGACATGCCAGGAGGTCCAGTACTTTATGCTAATGAATAATTGGTTCTTTTGAGTACTTTTTAAATTAAATAGTTCAAATTTCCAATGTAGAAGTTTCTGACAACGTCTTAATTTGGAGATGTCTCTAAGTTTTGTTGCTTAATTTAAAGTTCTGGGATTCATTTGTGTAGGCTGACAGAAAAAGGAGTGGAGTTCCCTTTTGTGGTGCTCTTAGTTTCAGGTACGCCCAGTGATGTCTTAATGTAGATTAACTTGCAACTATAACATCCTCTCGAGGTGAAAGAGATGAACTTATAGAAACTGATTGTGCACCTACTTCGTACTTATGAGCGATAGGAGGACACAACTTGCTTTTGCTGGCTCAAGACGTTGGTCAATATACACAGCTGGGCACCACAGTTGACGATGCCATTGGTGAGGTGAGAAAAAGTGGATCGTGTTTTTTTGAACCATGCTTCTTACTTTTTATTAAATTGATTTCTGATAAAGCCCTCACGTTGAAATAGAGATGGAGGAATATGTGTAGAGTTGACGTTGCGGTTTTGTTTTTGTTTCCGAGAGTCTCAAGAGTTCGTTTGACGTGTACCCCATACCCAAAGTGATGTCATAGTTATTTCATGCTTACGAATCTGTCCCATAACTCTGAACATATATATATATATATATATATATATATATATATATATATATATATATATATATATATATATATATATGTGTGTGTGTGTGTGCGTTTTTTTATTTGTTGCTAGTTCTTCTTACCCCAGGCAACTGGTAATCAAAACTCCACTGGCTTTGAATTCGGCGCAGGCGTATGACAAGACAGCGAGGCTTCTAGGGTTGGACTTAAAACGTGGAGGGGGTCCAGCTCTTGAACAGCTTGCTTTGGAAGGAGATGCTAATGCTTTTAACTTTTCTGTGAGTTTCTTCACGCTGACATTGGATGCTGCGCTGACGTCTCATTGATGTATTCTTGGAATTATCTTTTATAGAATGTTTTATCTGATCCAGGGCCCGAAAGTCATGAAATTTAGAGGAATGTTCTTCAATATAGATTGATTCTCAAACGTTGCTGGTGAAAATCGGTCAATTTAAGTTGTCATTTCACTTTTATCGTGCACTCAATCTGTTCATACTGTAGTAGCTTGGTCTGAACAATGTTTGTGCCTCACCAACTTGCACCCAATGCTTCAGGTGCCTATGCGACACCGTCAAAATTGTAATTTCTCATATGCTGGCCTCAAGAATCAGGTCCGCATGGCCATCGCTTCTAAGAGCATGTATGTAATCTTAATGGCATCGTAATTTCAACAGATCGACGGAACTTTACTATCAAAAGTCATATGGAAATTTACACTATGTGATGGGTAGAAGTCCTTATTGCTTGTTATCTATGATTTTCCCTGAATAAGCTTGAAAAGTATCGGTTCAATTTAGATTTATGAAATAAACTTGCGCAGAGATTCTGCAGAAATAGTAGTAAAGACGCTATTTAACTATCCACAACTGGGGTATTAGTGGCGTGTTGTTTTGTATCAGAGATGGATATAGTCTATAGTTGTATTTGACTAATGTAGGCAAGTTCAGTTAATTATAAGAACATGAGTAACTATCTGACTTTCCTCAAATCTGAATATTTCAGTAATGCTGAAGTGCCGCTAGCAGAGGCAGACCCTGAAGACCGCCGTCTTCGAGCAGACCTGGCAGCATCTTTTCAGGCAAGGATATTGGTAGCAGATACATCTACTGCTTTAAGTCAAGAAATGATCCTCCTAAACTTGTCACACGTAGTTGATGTTTGCTATTAACCCCGACGGGAAGTGAAGTAGTCATTGTATTCTGTAGTTGTTTCATGTCAATTCTCCTGCATTTTTTCTGTTTTGTGGATGAAGAAGGCCAATCAGAGAGGTGTAATAAAAAACGATGGAATTCTTCAATCAGAGAGTTGCTGTACTTCACCTGGAGGACAGATGCCGCAGAGCTTTGGAGTGGGCACGGAAAATTAATCCTTCAGTGCAGTGTTTGGTGAGCAGTCTCAATCTTGATATGCTCCATTGAGCCAATAAAAGCCAGTTAGTGCTATAATGACGTTTGCGTTGAACAGCGTGATTCTCACTCCTCATCCAGGTGTTGGCATACTTTGAATACATGATACAAAATGTATAACTTTCCCTTTCTTGTTTCGCAGGTTGTATCAGGAGGCGTAGCTTCCAACCAATTAGTTCGGAGCAGACTGAATTACATCTCTCAAGAAGTTGGGCTTCGCCTTGTATGTCCCCCGCCTCGCCTCTGCACCGATAATGGTATCTTCTACTTTTCCTTACAGGATGTAGAATCAATGTGGATTTCCTTGCACAGTACCAATCAGAGTGCTGGTGCATTATTAAGGAATCTATTTCCAGAAGGAATATGGATACATAGGAGTTGTCTTGTGGGCTTGTCGGTCAGTTCCCACAATTCGTACACGTTTCAAATCCACTCTTAGATCATATGGTTGCAATATATTGATTATGCGTGGCCAACAGTTGTACAGGGATACATGTGCTAATAAAGTCTTAAATCTTTCCCATGCAGGAGTGATGGTAGCGTGGGCAGGTATTGAGCACTACAACAGGGGGATGACACAGCCTCCTCCCCCGATTGATGAAACTTCTGATTGTTGGGTATGTTTTAAATTTAATGTTGGAGTGGGTTTCATCATCACACTTTCTTATGTTTTTGCGTACTGTCATGATTCTTTATCATGTCTGAGTCCCATGAAAGAATTTCAAGGGTGGGTCTGGACCACTAGCACTATCATTATGACTTGATGGGATTTTGACTAAGGCTGGACCAATGTCTACTGAACAGCTTGATTTGAGGCCACGCTGGCAGCTGGGAGAGATTTGTGAAGATGGTCTTACGGATACACATGTCCGATCTTTGAAGAAGACGGGTACTCATCCCTCACTAACAGCACAAGTTCGAAGTTTTGCTGAGGGTAACTGCTAGCGTCAATCAAGTGTCTCTCTTAATGTCACTTTTCATAGGTTGTTCACTCTGCAACAATGAAAGTTAGTCCAAAGACTAGGAAGAAATGAGGAAGCTTTTCTTATTTAATCTCCTTAAGTGAAGTTTTGTTTACGACAAAGAAGTATCAATAGTAGAGTTTAGCAAATTGAATTGAACTCATTCTAATTTTTTTTTTTTTTTTTTTTTTTTTTTTTTTTTAATGTATGTTTATCAGTAATTTTGAGTTGTGTTCATATAATATGAGAACTGATGGTGTCTAATCAACTTAAAATTTCTGAGTCTTGTCTGCGGATTTCTTTGAATTATTTGAGAAAGTTCTATAAAAATTGTAGATCTAAATCTGTGTAGATATTTACTAAAAAAACAACATATCAATCCTTGTTATATATATATATATATATATAGGAAACAATGTAATAATTTTTATTTTATACATTATTAAAATAATATGCAAGTTAACTATTATATGCATTCATCACATTTAGAATGTTGTATGGATTATCAAATTGACAAAATGGTATGCTATTTTAAGACAATCTATATTTATTTTTTTTTGAAGTGAAGATTGCATGTATTGAAAACTAGACTTTAAGATGCAGTTATGATTTTGATTGTTTTGCAAAAAAATTATACATATATGGTTATATATATATATATCTAAACTTAAAGAAATTTATAGGATAGTTTATTGAATATTAAAAATTGTTTTTAATAGTTATTAAATAAATTTAAAAGTTAAAAAATGATGTAAAAGATGGTATTTTACATAAAGTTCACTTTCCTACATGAAACATAGAGAAACAATATTAAAGTCATTCTTAGTCCTATGAAGTCTTTTTATATTTTATCGTAGTAAATTATTAATTAGAAGTTGTTTAAATCTTGACATAATTATTGAACAATTCTATTATCTACAACATGATTTATTTTTTTTAATCAAAACTTCTTGTTTTTTTGCACAAAATATCCATATGTATAATAAAGAAAGCTTAGGTATAAGACTAAAAAGACAAAAAAGCCTTCTCATTGATTGAAATCCAAGAAATCATTACTTAGCAAAAAGACATCTAGTTTACAATCTATAAGCATCTTATTCATGCCCAATGGCATAGGTTTCTGCTAGTTCTTAATAATGTATAAATATCTGTTTTGACAATTTAATAAAACTAATTGAAAAAAATTAAAACTAAGATTCATTGAAGTAGAAAGTATTGTCTTCACATTATTCTTGCTATAAAATGCACTATTTTAAAGATTTAAGGATTATTTGCCTTTAATATATAATTTAAAGTCAAACAATTGAATTCAATTTTGCCAATATTTTAAATTTTATTAAATAAACTGAATCTTTCTTATAAAAGATATTATAAATTGCATCAAATGTTATTTAATTAGTGGTGTTGTTTGATTTTAATAGTTGATAAAATAAGATAAATATAATTAAAAATTATTTATTTAGTAATAATATATATAATATCCAATAACATTAATATGTAATATCCAATAATAGTTGGTAAAACATGGAAAAAATACGTTTTAAAACTATTTTTTTCAATAAGACAAAAATTGTGATTTAAGTTGGACTATTGATTTGACAGTTCCTACAATAGTTAAATTTTTACACTTAGTAATCTATCAATTTGATTTTAAATACTCATATTTTTATCTTTAAATTTTATTTAAATTTAAGAAAATACATAATTCAAAGAATTATTGCAATTCCATCTTGCATCAATAAACTATAATTGAATAAATACCCAATAAAACTCTCTCTAACCACGCTTTATCCTCACACAAAAGTTACCAATCCTACTTTTGCTTTAGTTCCAGTTACCCCCCAACGATGATATTGCCCCCATAATCCATAACACAATCATTCCGAAAACACTTACAAAAATATAAAAAACATAAAAAAATAAATAAATAAATAAATAAATATATATATATATATATATAATACAAAATCATTTTCGCAGATACAATACTTCAACAGATTTTCCATTCCCATAAACAACGATTCCTCAAAAAAAAGTCACAGAAACTTACCGACACTTTACCCTAATTCGCACTCGAAACGCCCAAGAAGCTTCGCGAGGGGGAGGTTGCGAGGAAGGCGCGATTGGCTTGGGCGACTGAGATGGAGGCGTGGGGTGAAGCGGAGGAGGAGGTTCCTTCGAATGCGTGGAAGTGTCGATGCAGCGGAGCACAATTGCAAATTGATCGCATCGTCGCATCGAACCAAATGCTAGCACACCACATGATCCATCGAACACAACCGCAGAAAGAAACATATACCCTAGATTCAGGGATGGGAGGGAGAGAGGGAGGGTGTAGCTATTGCGCCACCACCTCGTCCGCTTCCGCTTCCGCTTCGATGTGTGGGGCCTCGGAATCCAAACCTGCAATTGCAGTTTCTAAATATGGCTCATCTCTCGGTCATTTCGGGATAATCTGTAACCCGACGGCGAATTCTCTGGTCCTATCGGTGTCGCAACTCTCGTGGATCGTTCGTTTGGGCCTGGAAGGCTTGAACAGATTGGTGCTCAACAGAAGGGATGGACGGAGCGAGAGTGCGATGCAGATCTTGTGAATTGGGTTTGTAATAAAGCTGACGGCACCGAAGTCATGCAGTAGAGCTTTTTTTAACTCATTAGCTTTTGCGGTGAACTCACCAAGTGCGGCACTTTTTGTTTTTGTTTTTGTTTTTTTGCTGCCGTTTGTCAATGATCGTGACCCACGTCTCCGCTGGCTTTTTTGCGGTTAGAGGAAAAGATGGTCGGAGGGTGCGGAGGTGAAAGGGGTTGGCTGCTCTTCCGACGTGGGTGTTTCTCGATCTCGTGTTTGTGGTCGTCCTCTGCTTTCCCCACCTGGTAGGTTGCGAACCGGAATGGTGCGTTCGGAAACTGGTTTTTTGATCTTCCGAGTGATGAGTGGTAGATTGGAGGATTGAGGGATACCATGTCTTGTGCCGTCGCTGCTGTCTGTCTGTCAGCGTTCTCGCGTCTTCATTGTATCTGCAATCTGCGTTCTGTCTCGTTGTTATCATCGCCAATGGGATCGTCTTTTCTTCCTCTCTTCTGTTTCTCAGTTGGAGGCCTTGGAAATTGTCGGCTGTTGTCGATGAGAGGCGCATTCTGATTCGATCGATGCTGAGTCTCATGTATGTGGTAAAGGCCGTTCCTGCCGGTTGATTTAAATAATGCCCTCGTGTCAATCTTCATATATATATATATATATATATTTTTCAAAGAGGGTCGGTTAGCTACGAGAGTTTCATCCCCCCTTTTTTTTCCAGTGAAATGCATCTGCCGCACTCTCCCAGTTACTTCGAGTTACTTATCTTTCTATCTCCCTGGGGGCCATTCTCGCGTTATGTCTTACAGACCTTGTTGCCGTTCATTCCATGGATTGTTTTGGTCAACCGACGACGAAGCTCACGTTCTCGTACTGACATATTTCAGGAACGAGGATACGTAAAGGTTTCGAAACAACGAGCTGAAAGGTTCGAAGTAAAGAATGATTCCACACATTCAGGTTGACTATATCGAGTCACAATAAGAGCAGAGTCACAACGGAATTGACTCCATTCGCGCGAATTTCACAATGTGGTGATCAGTCGCGATTTGGGACGTTGATTTTTCGAGTTTCAGGACTCAGCGCATCGTACACCTAAGGTTTGTCATGGGAAAGCATCAGATGCTCTTTTATGCCACTGAAAACTGTAACGAAAGCACCAGTAGCTTGCGACCCACGAGCGTTTTTGCTTAAGTGCCAAAAACAGAGCAGAAAACTGGGCACATTCCTTTGTGCGAAATTGGATTCAGGTCCCTGTGATCAATTGTGGTGAAGCTATGGCGAGACGGATGCATGCGGGTGAAAGAAGATGGCGATCCTTTCTCATTCTTCTTTTGACTGTCTGCACCTGCTTGGCAGCGTATTTCTTCATTCGCCCCCTACTCTTCAATCTATTTTTTTCACAGGCATCTCTTGCGCATGTAGCACGACAGCATCTAGACAATAATAGAACAGGATGCTGTAGGGGTATAGAGCACACGGAGTTGTGGGGCGATGCTGTGAACTGGGGCAATGACTTTCTTCTCGATACGGCGCAAGAATGCTGCAACGCTTGTAAAACGAATCCAACGTGCGATTCCTGGGTACATTGCGCTGATGAAGCAAACTGTGGGAGCTTCTATCGTCAGGTGATTCCTATCGTCTGGAACCACTCCCTGCCGTTTTTTTAATATTTAGATAATACTTTCTTCATCTTTTTCGGTACACGTGAGTTTTTAATTTTTTCATGGCTACTGAACAAAAGAAAAAAAAAGAAAAAAAAAAGAAAAAAAGTTTCTGAAGTATGTGATTTTTTGGGTTCAAGGTTGTATTTTAGGGCGATTTCATCAATCTTGCTTTTTTCCTATTGCCAGTTTCTTGTCTTCCGCGAAGACTGTTGGCCCTTCCGTGCACCATTCTTTGATGGCTGACGAAAGTCGGTTTGTTGGCTTCATGTTACTGTTTCAGTGTTGGTTGAAGAGACAGAAGAATTCTCTCGATCCAGAAAGTCATGACTCGGGCCCATCTAATCCTTGGACTTCTGGGCTAGTGCTCGACAAGGATATGGTATAATATTTCTCCCCTTTTAAACTTTCAGTTAATTTTCAAATAACACGTCTGCATTACAGAATACCTTTGAACGTCTTAATTTAAATGTGTGTATGCAATGGGTTTACCAATTTAGAGCTCTCAAGGCACTCGAATCCCAATTAGTGTAGATGGATCTGCCGAGCAGTCAATCACAATGAATGGCATAGCTGCACAACGTGTGCGGTTTACGGCAAGCTCGTCGAAGGACACAATAATCTAATTGGACATTCTTCTTCCTGTTGCAGGCCGTTGTGGGGCTCTCAATTGACAATGGCACCATGAGCGGACAACTCATACACTTGAAGGTAATAACTCATAGTCCACAAAAAAATAATAGAAAGCAGAGAGGGTGGGGAGTGCGTCATCACAATTCCTTTGAAGCAACATGTTCTAGAATGTCAATCTGTGGTTGGTCATTCCTCTCTGTCTCTTATTCGAATAAAGGTACTGGCAAATGGATGCAGTTGCTTCCTGATTGTGCACCAAGCTCGGTACTGCAAATACTGGACCTGGCCAAGTTGACCCACTGCGCAGGCTGTCGCTTTTATCGTGCGGAGGGACGTGCGGGACTGTGGGATTCTTACGGTGGTCACAATTCCAAGGTAAACAGAAAATGACACCTCAGTGGAATGACTGTCCGAACCTGTTTTACATCAAACCATTGGTATTTGTCGAGTTTAGGGATCGCACCTAGCCTTGCAAAGATGTCTCATAGTTTTATGTGCTTGAACCGTAGTGGAATCGCTTCTAGTGTGAGGTTTCTTCCTGCAAGGTTACGATAAGGCTCATGATTTGAATGCTTTACACTCCAGATGAGGAGTACCGGTCCGCCATATGCGGTTGTGCAAGGCACACTGGAGGCTCACCATGTTCCTTTCAAACAAATTCCGAAAGAATACACGCCTGCGATTTTAAGAGGCATGGTAGGTTGGTTGGGTGGAGGGCCCGACTTTTTCATTAGCTTGGCAGACCATGTGGAGTGGCCTCGCAAGCATTCGGTTTTCGCAACTGTAGCGGATGATGACATATCTCTCATTGAGACCCTTGCAGAACTGCCGACAACTACAGCTACTTGGGAAGGGGTACCGATTCAGGTTCTTGACAAACCTGTGAACATTAGACTTGTCCACGTTGACGCACAAAGAGCAATGGAGCAATGATGCAACGTTCTTTAGTGCTCTTGGTGATCGTAGGTAAATGGGCACGTAAAGTAAAACCAAACAAATTGTTTATGTACTCCTAACTCCATTTAAGACAGGTCTATCAGCTCACTACCTCGCCGGTGAACCTTTGCTGTCGCCATATAGCCCGATTGGGTTCATTTTCGATTCACGCTGTTGTCAAGTTGTGTCTCTACGTAAGTGGAACATGATCGATGATCTTCGTCTCCTCAACACTCTTCCTCACTCTGCCCTTACATTTCACGAACTAGTACAGGTTTCTCCCCCGAACGACGCTTATCTCACATTGTCCCAGGAACATATCTATGATCTCACAAGTTGAGAAATTCTTCAAAGTTCATCGCAAGTCTGAAGCATGTTCTGATCACGAAGCGATCCGGTCCTTCACTGATACACATTCCCAATAAACCCAATCCATTGATCGGTGTCGGTGTAGATCCACCGCTTCCTGCTAGTGAACCAGTCACGGAATGAGATCGAACTGAGATCGTTCTCCACGCACAGCACACTGACAGCCTTCTGTCTACAAAACTCTAATTATGTTTACATATTCTTCACATCGTAGTGACCCACTAGTGAACCCTTTTCACGTCAATCTTGACGCCGAACATGGTTGATCCTGCACCTCGTGTCGGTGCACAAGGATTCTCGAAAGGTACTCGTGTACGAATTATGGATGAATGTGTACCATCCACTTACCGGTGCCATCAGTGGATGAATGAGTGTGTTGACTCAGTGGAGTTGCCAACATCAGGTTCACTTATCAGAAAAAAATAAATAAACAAATAAAGTAATTCAAATCAGATGTGAAACCATCTCTTTTGCTGTGACTCTAACTACACTACTTTATCTCAGAAGTGTTCCATCCCACTCCCTTTTTTTTCTCATTTACTTTTATTTACAATTCCTTTTCCTTTTACATGCCTCCTTTTACAAACTTACTTGAGGACTTAAATTGTTATAGCCAACCAAATATAAAGGGAGATGAAACCTATTTCACACTGAGGATTTTTTGGCTCTTTTAAAGTTATTAGTACTTTTGGCATTAACTATAACTTGTACACTACCATAAGGTATTTTTATCATGTATCTTTAAATTTATTTTAAAATATTTTGTAACCTGTAGAAGATCTAATTTTAAAATAAACTTTACATTTAAAAATATGTGATTTTCAAAGAATACTTTCTTTTTAATGCAAATTTTACTTTTAAAAAAAATACCACAAAAAAAGTCTAAAATGTCGCGCAATTGTGGATACCATAGTTAAAAAAACATTTCCAACAATTTGATTAAGTGATAGCAAATCAAAACCTTTCTTATATGTAAATGTTTAGTTAAGTTTCATCTTATACAGCCAAAGCCTCATAAAAGAGACTTCAGAAACTATTTAATAAACAAAAAGTCTTTCCAATTACTATTGAAGTTACATTCAAAATAAATACAAGATTGCTCCAAAAATATCAACCTTTTTGAGGGCTTCCCCAAATCTTTCAACAAAACTTCATTCTTATTGTTGTATTTTCTATAGATGTGTATGCAATCAGATGTTAGCTATAAAGGTACATATTTATTTATGTAACTAGTTCAAGAGATGAAAAAATATTTTCAGTATATATTAAACATGCTAAGTAAAATCAATTAGACTTAACAATAAAAATACCATTGCAATTTACTACATCTTGGAGACTGCTGCAGATTTTAGAAAAACGACAGAACTATGAAACGAATATATTTCGAAGTGATCAAGACCACAAGTTGTTGCATTCAGTTTCAAAGCAATGATCCTACCTCAACCCTAACAGTGGATTCATAATGACCGAACTCGCGAGCAGTGCATGACTAGTCTCGATATCACAGACACCGGAGACTATCATCGACACTGAAAATTCAGTCCCGTGTGGAGAAAGCGGTGGAGCATTAGGTGGATGCGTCACTATTGAGTTGTTCATCAGTAGGACGAGATTCTGAAGGATTTTCCGATTTAGGAAATGGGAAGAGGAATGTTGCCTGGCTTGTGTCAACCTAGTAGTCCTAGACAGACTCTGCCACCCCTTGTAAAACCCATGCTTACTTGCTCTTACGCATATATTTGACCACATATTGAACGGAGAAGCGTTCGTCCATCAGTGTAGTCCTGTGTGGTGCAAAACCGGAGCACTTCGCCCAGTCTGCACATCGACTCCGCCGAATCGGTCGCGGAGTGTTGCAGTCAAGAGACTCGCTCATATGGGAAGCGTGCCGCTAACAGGCTTGCAGCTTAGTAAGGCAGGTAGAGTGTATATGCCGCGGAAAGCCAGACTGGATTCTAGGATGGTGAGAGCCATTGCGAGGAGAGGCACGTCGAAGTTCAAGGTTGATGAGAAGCTGGGCGTTCGCATTGAGAAGGATCCTTTAGTGTCTTGACCCAAGAAGCTCGACATTTGCTTGTATATCACAAACATCCACCAGGACCATAAATCAAGTTGCGGGTGCCTTTCATTTCAAGATGAGGGTTTATCGAGAGGATTCTACTTTTTGGGTTTCACGATGCCTTCCCCATAGTATTTGTATCTCTCACAAGAATCATACTTAGGTTCTGTTCGGAGCACAAGTTGCATTGTAGAATTCACGCGAGCGAGGCACTTAAAACAAAGCTTTCTTTCTTTCCGAGATGCTCGCAGTGAGAAGTTCATAAGCGTCTTTGAACGAATTGCCAAATTGTTCGTAGATGAGGTTGCTCGCTGAGCTAATTCTCAAGGACTTACGACGCTTAGGTGACGTGCAACTTTTCGCAACGCGAGGTGAAGGTCTTCCTGTTCTGATATTCCTACTTTGTCGAATTCGGAACTGGTGACTTGGTGGTGTTACAGAAGGGCATGACTTGCAGGCGGCACGTTTCCGAATCCGAGTCCGTTGACACGCAATACTGATTCGAGCACCGATGAAGAATTCGCAAGTGTACGTCACGGTTCAGAGCTTCTCTCGTTAGAGTCTTCATGAAGACTTTGAGTACCGTACTTAGGTAAATTAGATATGCTCCGTTCCAGTTAAATAATTCACCGGCGAGACCGCTCGTTATGTCATTCGTTACAGATCTGGAACTTCATTCACAAATATCTTGAGAGACACATCAAGATGATCGCCCGCAAGAACCACACATGCATGTGTGAACTTAATAGAAAACTAAATCGCAAGAACATACAAGAGTTTTTCTATTGTTCTCCTTCGCAGATTCGGATATTACAAACTTCAAGTCATGCACAGTGTTTGTGATAAGCACATTGAAATTATTCGAACCCACGCAGTTAAAAAAATTCAAGTGAAAACTCACCGCATCTTCACCAGGCTCTTCTTGATCTTTCACTTGGATCGGTGATGGCGAACAGAGTTATGATGCCTTTCGTCAGCAAGCTTGTCCGGTTCTGAAGATCCTCTGAAGTAATCCAGCGTGAACTTCAAGGGCTCTGTTAGCAATATCATAAACCAACCCATCGTGTGCAAATAAAATATCATTCCTAGAAAAGCCCATGCAATCTTCAAGCGGAGACAAAGAATTACTAATCATGTGACATCTCAAACAAGGATCAGGCATTACAGGCTTAGCAGACAATGCTCGCATGGGTTGATACACAAATCTAGATGACCTTGGCCAACATCTTTTGAGCGCATCAAATATAGTGTCCAAGAGAGCTGATTTGTAAATCCGAAAGTCTCTGAACCAACAGTCACTTTACCCAAACAGATTTACCCTGGTGATATGAAGTTCATTGTGAATGTAAGTTCCTCCTCTGCATGAACAAAGGAATGTGGTGGAGGTGGATTAAGAAGGCGTGGAAGTAGGTCACGGCGCCCCCTAACAGTGGACAGAGAGCGCGAGAGAGAAATAGAGAGAGAGATTAGGGCGGTGAAGGGTGGTGAGCCAAACATCTATTATAATGTCTTTACACAGGGACAGTCACATTCCTAGGTGTGCGAAGCATGAAGTCGGCACACGCCCGTGCTTCCCCGCGCGTGCCCGACCGCTCCTCACCCAGTTGCACATCCCACACCTCGCGAGAAAACATACTCTTCTCCAACACAAGTCTCAAATATCCTTTCTCCGACGCTTAAGCCGGCCATAAACGCATTCCATTCGCCACACTGAGTCAACGTCGCTAATTGGGTTCGCGCCGCAAAAAATGGGGAAAGTGGACTCCCTAGAAACCTGTAGGAAGTGCTTCCAAAAGTAACTTTCAAGCTTCTTTTCGGATAACCTCGATTTAGTATAAGTCCACTGCTGGATTCCCATATGATATCCAAGGCATTCTGAGTTGTCACGTCAGGTCCTAGTTGAGTACAGTACCGGAGTGCCGGCACGCACGTACCAGTGCCTCCTTTATCACCCTCCCGAGGAAAGTGAGTAGTGGGTCGTGGCGAGGTTGAGCTAAGCTGAACTTGAGGCGCTGCTGCGACACATTCCTGTCAATTTGTGTGTTTCTGTGTGATCATTCCAGCTTGTCAAGATGGTGCAGCTCTTCAATGTGCCGGCGTTCTTCATCCTCTTCAGGGAGACGCTGGAGGCGGCAATCATCTTATCAGTGATGATGGTGCTGATTGACAATATTGTGGAGGAGACATCCTTGCGGCGGCGGATGAAGAAGCATGTATGGCTCGGGGTAGTGACTGGAGTGGTCTTGTCCTTGATCATCGCTACGATATTCATCTCATTATACTACACGGTCGCCAAGGAAGCGTGGGATAGCTCAGAGCCTCTCTGGGAGGGGATCTTGTCGCTCATTGCTGTAGTGCTGATTACCATCATGGGATTCTCCATGATTCGCGTGGACACATGGAGGGCCAAGTGGGAGAAGAAGCTCACCAAGGTGACGGTGGAGACCCTGAACAAGCAGGGTGAGGTACAGAGCAAGCGCAGCAAGTACGCGCTGTTCCTTCTGCCCCTGAGCATTGTGCTTCGGGAGGGAGTCGAAGCAGTTGTGTTCCTCGGCGGAGTGGGCCTCGAGGGCTCTGGCACTGCTATCCCCATTCCCGCAGTCGTCGGAGCGCTGTGCGGGATCTTTGCCGGGTACTTGATGTACAAGGGCTCCAACAAAATGAACTTCAAGTGGTTCCTGGTCGGATCTACTGCGCTCCTTTTCCTTGTAGCCGCAGGACTGTTTGCTGGCGCCGTGCATGAGTTTGAGGAATACACCGAAAACGAAAAAATCTTATGGAAACTGCATTGCTGCCACCACAAGAAGGATGGCATCTGGAAAATTCTGAATGCTATCGTGGGCTGGCGCGATGAGGCGACCGTGGGCACACTCGTCTCTTACATTATGTACTGGGTGTTCGTGGCCATCGCCTTCGTCATCCTGAGCATGAAATGGAAGCGCGAAGCTGAACGCGACGCAGCGGTACTGGACAAGATCCCTGATGAAGGAATGAAGATCCCTGTCTAGTCAATCTGGCTTCCCGCAGGTTTAGAGCAAACGTCATGTTCTCAAAGCAGTCAGACCAATGACCGGGAATCAATGACAGGTCGTTTGTAGCAATAGAAACCAGCTAGAGTGTGTCATTAGTTTAACTCATACATAAACCGCAGTCAGAAAATTACCTTCAGGAATTTTGTATTCTGGTCAAGGGCATTCTAATGGGCCCGTCACTGACGACACAACAGTTTTTTGTGTACAAGTTGGTTGAACCAATCGTGTTAGCCCCCTCATGTGGCTTCTTCTCTTCAGTCAATTCTTGTAATATAATCCCCAAATCGAAATCCTCTTCATTATCGAGTCAATCACCATGAGTTCAAACAACTTCTTCTGTGTACTGTGTTTTCTGTGAGCTCAAACATGTGACTCAATGTGCATGCCCCACCACACTACAAAGTGACATGAATTCAACACTCCCACTCTCTTCGACTCATTGCAGTCAATACATGAGAATGTTCGTAGTGTCGACACAACAAGTGCATCGATAAATCATTGAAATTTGCTAGATACCAATCCTCCTTGAATGCAAGCCTTTCACATTTTTTTCTTGTGGATTCATTGCTGTTCAGGAGTGCACAGCAAGCTCCCTCATGAATCCAGCCTCATCCACGAGAACCAGTATGACTCACACGCCGGCAATGCCATGAGCTTCACAGAGCTGGGCAATTCAATCTGACTCAATGAATGAGATTTTCTCATGAGTCTTGGTAAGAGTGCAGGCTTTGTTGGACTCTGTCTTGCAGTGGCAGATGAAGCTATTGAATCTCACAGCTCGATCTGCTAAATGAGCAATTGAAAGCACCGATTGTTGTTGCGTGACGACGTGGAAACACACACACTCACAAAATTGTGACAGAGCCTTCGCAAAGCAGTGACTGGATGTGAAATGGTTACTAGACTCCGTCCGATGCATTCATCAATCCGTGAGTGGATGAATGTAACCTCGCAATCAGCTGGATAAGAATCATCCATTCATGGGTTTGGACAAGTTCAAAACTGTTTGGTTTGCCTGTATTGTATTGTTGGTCCAAAGGTGATGAATGTGGATGGAACTTCTTATTTAAGTAGATTGTGTATGTGTGTGTGTGTGTTTTTTTTTTTTTTTTTTTTTTTTTTTTTAATTCACGCAATTATATCATAAGTAGCATCTAGTAACATGTTTGTATTAGTGAAATAGTGGATGTTGCAAAAGTGAAGAAAATTGGAATTTTTTAAAATATTTTTGAAGATTTTAATATGAATAAAGTAATAGTAAGTTTTAAATTCTAATTCTAATTATTTTTTATATTTTAGAAATAAGGAAATTTTATTCAATTGAAAATATCACATACAGTGACAAACAAAACCGAGTACAAAATCTGAACACTCATAGTTCATTGATCCTTGCAACTGACACATAAGTCAATTGATAGAATTACTTTTTTATTGTGTGTATTCATCCAGTCCTCTACATGGATGAAAAATCTCATTATCATTTGAGGTAGGGTTTATGAGAAAAGTGTTGTAGAAGCACACAGATGTGTGTACTCAGGTTTGGTTGCTTCTTCTTGCTGAATTTCGAAATTTCAATGTACACTCCTTGTTGCAAGATTTGAGGGCATTTTTTGTTTGTTGTGTTGCTCTTGTTGTGTACTATCTATAGTGAAAGTTGATTTGTCAATTGTATCTCTATGCCTCGGTTGTGTGAATCATTGAAGCACCAAGCATTGGTGCAGCTTAGGAGTGGTGTTTCTACAAGAAAAGTTGCAGACTCACTTGGAATGAGTTAGTCTTCAGTAGCTCATCTGAGGAGGGAAATTAGTGGTGAAATAGAAAAGCAAAGAGGAGGACGTCCAAAGGTTTTAGGAGAGCAAGAGAAGCGACTTGGTGTACACCTTGTCACTGCTGGTTGTCTCAAAACGGCATGTGCAGCTGCAAAACAACTTCGAGAAAAAACAGGTAAATACTTCTCAGACATCACCTTGAGGCATGGTTTGAGAGAAGCTGGTTTGGGTGCTTGTGTGCAACAAAAGAAGCCTCTACTTACCAAAAGACATGTTCTTGCAAGGTTGAGTTTTGCTCATAAATACAAAAATTGGACCGTTGATGATTGGAGACAGGTTATTTTCAGTGATGAGACAAAGATTAACCTAATCAACTCAGATGGTAGGTCTTGGTGTTGGTTGAGAGAAGGAGAACGACTTGGACCTAAACATGTTAGTCAAACTGTCAAACATGGTGGTGGTTCAATTATGATTTGGGGTTGTATGACTGCTTTTGGGCCGGGTGCTTGGTATCAAATTGAAGGTAGAATGGAGCAATACTTGTACAAAAAAAATTTAGAAACCTACTTGCAAAGTACCACACAAAATTACAACTTAGATCCTACTAAGGTGGTTTTTCAACATGATAATGATCCCAAATATACGGCAAAAAGTGTTCAGTTTTGGCTCTCTTCACAGCCATTTCAGGTCCTTCGATGGCCAGCTCAATCTCCAGATTTGAATCCAATGGCACATTTTTGGGCCCTTCTCAAACAGCGTTTAAGCCAAGTCACTCCAAGGCCAAGAGGTGTTCAAGAATTGTGGGAGAATGTTTGTAGTATTTACCCTAGTTTTGATGCAAAAGATTGTGAGAAACTATACAAAAATATGCCAAGAAGGATTTCAGCTGTTTTGGAAGCAAAAGGTTATTGGACTAAATATTGAAGTTTGAAGATTTTCTTTGAACAATACTGAGTACAAGACATAGTTGTTGATTTGACTTTGTAGAAGGATGTTTAGTTATCAATTTGATGTGCAACTTTGTACATGTGTACAAGACTCTGTGTATTATTCCATGTAACTTTCAGATTTATAAAGCAATCATTGAAATTTCTGTAATTGTTGTTGAAAGTTGGTACTTCAGATTTTGTACTCGGTTTTGTTTGTCACTGTACATGTCAATTTTTTTAAAGAAAACAAAAAAAAAACAAAAAAAAACAAACAAACAAATACAACAACAACAATAACTATTAACTAGCATTCTATATATATATATATATATATATATACATACATAGGAGAATGTTGAATAGACCTAAGTTTTTACTAAAACCATCATGAAAAATTATATTGATTTTTAGATTCATTTCCCTACTATTCAATTTGTAGCTAATAAAAATCAATCATATTCATCATGATTACTATATTCTTTATCAAAGGTGGGTCTATTTAGTAAAATTATGGATCTATTTAATATTCTTCTATATATCTATTTATATAAATAGAAAGATAGATATATACAATATTAGTATTTGGAATCAATTTCAAGACTTTTGATAACTCAATATCTTTATTTGGACATGTTTTATGGCTAGTTGTTGTTGTTATTGTTGCTATTCTTTAAAAGAAATTAAAATGCATAAAAATAAGGATCTTGCTACCACCTACTATCTTAACATTTTCTTGCAAAAATATTTGTATAATGTAAAGCCAATCAATATAAACTTGTAATTTTTAAAAAATATATAAAAATCATAAAATAATAATGTAAAAATATAAAAATTTGGTAGTAATTTCTTTATACTTTTTTTGTTTTAATTTAGAATTTTTAAGATTATTTTGTATATTTGTTGAATTTAAAATTTACAAAAATTAAATATAAAATTAATTTAAATATTACTAAAGTTGGATAATAGGATAAAATATAATATTTTATTATTATATTATAACCACCATAAATTTTTAAAAATAAATAATAAATTAAATAATTTTTAATAATACAATACAATATAATATTATTTTTTTAGAATTCAACAAATTAGAAACTAAAATTTAAATCACGTAATTATAAAAAAACATAAGCTATTTATAAGAATAAATAGCATTTAAAAGATGGCATATATTCATAAGATATCACAACATGTCGCTACTTCACATAAATAATTTCATTAAAAAATATTTTTGTCATTTTTAACTAGCATACATATTAGAAACTTGTTAAGTAATTATTTGAAATAATCTTTATTAATATTTTTAATATATATACATATACATACATAATATACTTTAATTTTTAATTTTGGTAAAAATCTACTATAATTTATTTTATTTATTTTATTTTTTGAAGTTATATAGATATATAAAAAAAATATATTTCTTGAATAATTCAACTCCTTTAACTCTCCACGAAATTCTTCTTAATTTATTATATTAAGTGTTGATTATATATATATATATATAATTGATCTACGAATTTGTACAAATTAATATTTCTACCACATCTATGAGTTGTTATTTTGATATTTTTAGCTATTTAGATGTATTAAAATATTTTTTTTGTTAAATACTATAAAATATTTTATTATATTTACTTAATATTTTTAAAATATATTTTTATGTACCAATTTTTTTATTTTTGTATAATTTATATATTTATATGATATAAGAAACTGATACTTCTTTACCAATTAATAACTTGAGTTGACTTTGTTCTTTATGTCATATGTAATTACTCATTTAATTTCTTTTGCATATTGATAAGAAAAAATTAAAAATACTAATAATATATTTTAAAAATACTAATAATATATTTTAAAAATACTAATAATATATTTGAAGAAACCTTGGTTGCTTTAATTGTCACTCTTTCCATCACTTAGTGCTCCTCTTCTTGGCTTATCTTCGGCATAGCTACATTGCTAGTCTTTGTTAATGCATACTTGCATAATTATTCATTGTGCTTGTACATAAAATTTGCCTATTCTTGTATATGTTGTAGTTTGGTGGATTATTCTCTTAGACAAGAGAAAAGTGTTTTTTTTTTGTACATGTTTTTGTGTGTGTAGAGCATCTGACTTTGTAGTAGATTTTTTCTATTTGTTATTCTTTCTTTGTTTCCTTCCTTTTTTTTCAATATTTTTATTATTATTTTTTCTTTTTCATACAAATATTTTTACAACAAGAATGTGGAACTTCTCAAGTTGAATATACTTGGTTTAGTGATGATTC